TGTTAGTTTATATTCCAGGCCTTAAATATTATTTGATGTAGTGTTTGTGAATAAGAACTTATACAGATGGAGGAATCTTGTTTCTACACTAATAAACAGAACTACCCCCACTGTGATAAAGCAGAACAGTAAAATAATAGAAGCAAGATGTAGTGAGCTAAATCCCTGTCCCATTGAAGCCAGTGAGAGTTTTGCAACTGATGTTAATGAGGACAGAATTTGGCCCATGTAAGTTGCATACATTTTACATCAGTTTTATGAAGTTATACTATATTTTAAAAAAAATCTTTTGGGAGGGTTAGTGTACTGGCTTTTTTATCTTTTAAGGTCACGTGAGGGTTCAAATTTGCCTGAAACCCTTAAAAACGTTATCCTGGTTAAAATACAGTATTTCTCATCTCATAGCATATTGTTTTCTGTCACATGGTTCTTCAATATCTGTCCACCTAGGGTATGTTAAGATACTCTTAATATGCACAGTGATTACTTTAAAACTGTAGTAATTATTAAATGCAAATTCAGATTTATCTTGTATCTGAAATGCCTTTTCCTCAACACTGAGCAAACACTTATTTCAGATATGTCAGGTGTGTATGTAGATATAATTAAATATTTGACCCATCAATTGCAGGGCTTCTTGCAATGCAAAAGAACAACCTGAAATTAATTGTGATGTATATCATCAATATACATTTTAATCAGCATTAATATGACATTGCATTGTCAAATTTATTTGGAAAAGAAAACATTACAAATGACAGACTAAATAAATGATAGTATTTACATTATTCTAGTTTGTTTAAGAATGTCAGTTTCACTTTGCAATTGTCATACAAAAATTTGCATTGAAGGTGGGGGGATGTAAAGTAGAGTGCTTTTAGAAATACATAGTATTATAATGCTGTCTGTATGACTCTCCTCTTCCCCTTTTCCTATGCTACTACCCTAAAAACAACTCATTATTTAGTGCTCACATGAAACCAGAATGCACTTTACCCCTTTCCCTCTACTGGGCTCCTTTAAATTATGTGCATACTGCAAATCTGTTGGATGAAATGAGATGGGACTGGATGTGGTAGTTGCACAGACATATATCACCCATAGTTTTTATACATATGGCCAATTTCTGCACTGTTACACTCATGTAAAGCTAAAGTAATGCTATTAAAGTCCACGAAGTGTCCATGAAGTGATTCCAGACAACAGATTTTTGTCCACAGATTTCATATAGCACTTTTCACATGTATTCTAGTACTTTGCAGAAATAATAAGCAATGGTAAAATCAGTCACAAGTTTAATCAATTTTGTTGCTTAGGATATCATACGGTTAAGGAGTGATAAAATGGCAGCATAGCTTTGCTGATAAAATGACAATATCTGTCTAAGCAGAGAGAAGCTATTTACTTCTGTATTTTGGCTCTGAAAGATCAATGTAAACGCTAATTGTGTGTAACTGTAATCCCTTTGCAGCCCTTAGTGCTCTATTTTTACTGAAAAATTGATCCATGCTATTTATGTTGCCTCACTGTTTTATAGCTCCAGTTAATGAGCTATAAAGGTATCAAGAACATTAAGATTAGCTGTTTTTCTAAGTCACTGACTTCATGTTTCAATAAAGTAAAAATCTAGCCTTCTGCTTTATTTCAGTGGTAGTTTTATAGTTCTAAACATATTTCTGTTATTCTTTTACGTTGAATTACCAACCCGTTGTCTTTATTTGCCTTTATTTTTCTTTAAAAGAGAAATAAAATTGTTAGCTTTTAGTAATAATTCATAAAGAGGCAGTTATATCCATACTTATTTTAGAGCATAATCAGTGTATCAGGTCTCTTATCTTACTATACATACTTTCCAGATTCACTTGTTAAAAACAAAGACGAAAAAGGGCAAGGCTAAACTTGTCAACACAAGTCTAATGTTAGAACCAGCTTCTTCCCTGATTAGCTATTCTGCCTATGATCTCAGACCCACAACTATTTCTGTTAAGGTAATTCAATATGACACCTGATACTGGACCTTTTTGGCATAGACACCTTTGCCCTTTCATAAGGTCTTTCCACATCAGTAGAGCTGACTCCTCATTAGAATATTTAAGATCATGAAGTACTAGAGTAGGAAGAACAAAATCTACAAATCCTTTTTTCACAGTATTATACTCAGAACTCAACACTTGCATAAGGATTTGTTTTGCAAAGGCTTTTCTGTTATACTGTCAAACAGTCAAACTTTGTTCACAATTTTTTTGATCTTAACATTATCCTTCAAATTTTTATACAATCTACAGGCCTAAAAGTGTAGTCACATTTAAAAAAAAAAAATTTGTATGTGCTGCAACATTAATAAAATCATCCCATGGAGCACTTTCCCTCTCCTTTGCAATCATGTAGATCACCTCTCTTCCCATTCACAATCACATAACATTGCTGAAGCAATTACAGCAGCTGTTTCTATAGAAAACACTAAGGAAATATTTAATATATCTTAGCAATCTTTATTGCTAATTAACACCTGAAAACAAGGGAAATGAGTCAGCAACCTGAGACCAGCCAGCTTCTTACAAACCGGTTTGAGTCCTGCTGAAATAGCCTTCTAATGCTACTTATTCTCTCACTTAATCCATGCTACATAGAACGCCACCTTAATTTGACTTTTCACTCACAGCAGGCAGAAACATATTTCAGTAAGGTAAAGGGTCCATTGTAATGGAAGACAGTATCAGGATGCTAGGAGGGAAGGCAGTTATTCTACATACAGGTGCCTGCTAGTGTCTTTAGGACGGGCAACAAGATTGGTGCATAATTTTTGACATTTTGGGGAATGGCATCTGCAAAACATATTAAGCCCTTTAGATTCAGAGATGACAAGGAAAAACCAGTGCTGTGGAGGTGAAGTAGGGGGAGTCCTGGTGGGGTCACCAGAGGAAAGGGTGTCGTGGTAGGGGAACGGCATATGAGGGGGTTCATGGTGGGGTATCACACGAGAAGGGGTGTCATGGAGGCACAAAAGAAAAGGAGGGAGGGGGAGACACAAAGAGGGATGTAATGGGAGGGGGCTTGTGAGGAGGGGAGGGTGAAGAACGTAAGAACGGCCATACTGGGTCAGACCAATGAGTCGTCTAGCCCAGCATCCTAGTGGGGTGGTGCCAGATGCTTCGGAGGGAAGGATCTAAATAGGCTGCTTCTGGCAGTTGGAGGCTTAGGACATGCAGAGTATGGGTTCACGGACAGGAGTCTGCGAGGGCGGAAGCAGACGAAGAGGGGCAGTACTGGAGTCTCGGGGGAAGTCTGTGCAGGGACAGGCTAGGGTCACGAGAACGGGGTAGTCTGAGGGGGTTTTCACCTCCCGCCCGGCGGGCGCCCAACGGTCAAAGAGGAAAACCCGCCTTCTCGACAGTCGCTGATTGGCTAAAAGGCGGGTAGCCGTACACCGCAGGACAGGGAGCGGCGCGATCACGCAAACACAGCGCTCAGGAGGTGATTGGCTGCCGAGACGCAGCGCTGCGCTCGTGGGCGGCGATTGGCTAAGAGCCCTTCCCCTTATTACGAGAAGGTGATTGGCTGAGAGGTCTGGCGCCCTTTTTGCTCTGGTGGCGGCGGGGTGTGTGAGTCCGTAAGAGGACAAGTAGAGTGCTGCGTTCACCGTCCGTCCCTTCAGGGCCTCCCCGGCGCTGGGGACTGGCCAGGTGACCGGGGAGGGGCAGATTTTCGGTCACTATGGTGGGCGTATGGAGGAAAGGTCGCTTAAGGAGTTGTCCATGGGGCTAGGGATCAGATTTCTCACCTCAGTGAATGGGGTGGGGGGCAAAGTCCCGCTCCTGGCTAACTAGGTCTGGAGGTGGTTCTAGGGAATATACGTAGCCCCTCAATGACTAGAGGCAGGAGGGCCTTTCAGTAGCTAGGTATGGGGAGGGGACGATGGCTTTTAGAGTCTACAGGCCTCAGCAGGCATCAAATATGTGTCATGAATCCATGAGGGCTTGAATTCTTCCACCCCTTTTCTAGCATATGTGGATCCTCAGGCTCACCACTGAGGTAACAAAGAAGGTGGTTCCTATGCAAAATAAATTTGCTGTGGCCCTCCAATTGCCACCATTTTTGACAATCTCAGCAGGGAGCTGAAGGATTGAATGAGCAGGATCATTTCAATGCAATGGTGTGCCATTGCTTCAAAACTGTACAGCAATGGTTGCAGAACCCATCTCCTGCAGGAGGCGTTTGACACCTCGGAGAGGGCATGTTTGAGGCATATTAGCAGGGCAGTACACGGAAGATTGCGTTCGTGCTGTCTGCTGTTCCGGTGGGAAAAAAAGAGAGGAAGGGCTTAAATTGCCAAAATATTCCTTGGAGCCTAGCACATTGTTGTGGAGTTCTCTGCTTGGTGTCTCCTCTGAATCACTTGTTTTGATCCTCTCGCCTACAAATCTGCCCCTGTTTTTTTTTTTTTTTTTTTTAATGTTTTGTCTCCTCATATCTGTTGATATCTGGCTACTCACCCCTCTGCCACCTAAGGGGGGGGGGGTGTGGATCTTTTGTTTTTTTGCTGGGCTTTACTGATCCATACCAGCTGTCAAATACATTGGCTCTTTTTCACAAGCACAGAATTATCAGATGCTAATAAAGACCTCTTATTGAGTGTAAGGTTTCTAAAACTAAAATGGAACTGTTGAAACTAGTTGAAAATTCATTAAGATAAAGCAAAGAATTGCTTGAATGCTAAAAATAATCTAGGCTTTAGGTGAAGTCTTAGGGCTTGATCTTATGCCCATTGACATCAAAAGGAGTTTTTTTCCATTGACTTAATTGGGTGCATGGTTGGTCTCTTTGAACAAAACATAATACTTCTTGTAGTGCCCCACTCAAATTTTTAGAAATTCTAATGTACTTTCTTACATTTCTTTGACTAAAAATTAAACCATGCTTGTCAAATCAATTGTAAACTGTACTGGAAAACCCATTTTAGTCATCTGTATTTTTTTCTGATATTTTGCTCCTTTGTTGTACAGCTGATTATGTGAAGTTGCCAAAATGCCAGCTAGACGTGAGGTGCAGGTATGTATTTGTAAGGTAGGAAAACGGTGTTTACTGTGTATTGGTTAGTTGTTGGTTTAAATTAATTAATTTACTACCTTTTCTAGTCCTTAGTTATAAGTAAAGATTTAAGTATTTAACTCTCATTAACTCCCAAATTCTACAGATTTTTAAAAAATATTTTGCTATAGGTTTATTATTTAACACTTGAGCAGAATTGTGTGCTTATTGATGTAGAAAAATATAGGAATACTAGGTCAAGAATTCTAGTTCCTTTCCCCAAGGATTTTACAATGTGACAAATTAGACAGTTTGGAAAATTGAAGAATGTAAGAAAATCAGGTATTCATTGACATCTGAGATGTTGAAGGGAGCTTGTATCACTATATATTGTTCTTGTTCATTTTCAAACGATAGCTTTTCATCACAATAATAAAAAAGCTATGAAATGCTGGACAGACTACACAATCTCTGAGTGATCCTAGGAACGGGACAAAGCATACCAACCTGTATTATTAATAGAGCCCTGCATGGATAGAAAATTTGTATGCGCATCAGGTCCATGAAATATGATCCATGAATATAAAGCAGATATCTGCAGATTTGCAGGGCTTTAGATATAAAATTTGGATCCGCATCCATCCACGATCTGCAAAAATAGTCCACGGATTTGGATATCTGTGGCTGTAAAGCAGATATCCAGCAATTTGCAGGGCTCTAATTATTAGGTAAACTAGAAAATTAAGAAAATACCACAGAAATAAGATATATTTCTTCCAAACCTTTTTATTTTAAAGGACAGGTATACACTTTGAAATGAATAAGGTGCTGTAATGTTACTGTTTAAAAAAGAGATGAGGTGGGTGAGAGACAAGGTTTCCTGAGGAAGAGCTCTGTGTAGCTCAAAAGCACCCACCTTGTTTCTCTCACTAATAGAAGTTGGTCCAATAAAATATTACCTCACTCTCCTTGTCTCTCTAATATCCTAGGACCAACACAGTTATAATAACATTGTATACAATGTTTTAAAAAGTTGTATTAATTTTGCAAACTTTTTGGGAATTTTATTTTCAGCTTGAAACAATTTTTTGTGAAATCACTATTTTAAATTCAGAACCATCATGTGTTTTGGCGTGTCATATATAATTGTACAGTAGACAGAATTTTGATGGTACTAAGTAAGTAACTAATATTAAAGATAGAATGTCGTATTTATGCAGTCCAATGATTCTATAGGCCTGATCCTGCAGTAAGTACATGAGTAACTTTAGTCATGTGAGTAGTGAAGTGAATTCTATGTAGTTTTGGAATACTTGGAAAAATGCATTTTTCTTTACATGTTCAGCTTTCCTTTTAAACAATGGTATGGTAGAACTCAATGAGATTACTCACAAGTGTAAAATTGCTCATGTGTTCTGGTGTTAGCAGTATTGGGCCCTATATTTGATATTAAAGATACTGCATAATTAGTTCTATGGCATAACGCTGAGAGGTAGCTTTTTAGCACTGTCCAAGTAGTTGAAGTGCTAACATTGTACTATATGAATGTTACTAACAGTTAAGGCTAACTGTGTTTAACACTTATAATTTTAGATTATATTTTCAAAGAATAACTGTAAGGAAGTAGGACAGTGTGAGTCCCGGTCTTGCTGCAATTGAAATCAGTGGAAGTTTGCTATTGACTTCAGTTGGACAAGGAGCAGGCCGTTGCTTATTTAAAAAATAATAATAATATTTTTTGTTTGATTTTAGTTGATGCCAGGCTAATAAGAAGTGACAATAACCAGTGTCTATCAACTGCTGTCTTTTTCTCTTCACTTAGACATCTGATCTTGCAAAGTGCCAGTGTTCTATAATGCACTTTTCCACATACTTTCAATATTGTCATATTTATATGGAAAAGCACCACATTGTTAGCTAAGGATCCTGAAGAGGAATGTGTTGAAATTTTTTTGTATCAAACCTTGTTAAAGTAATATAAAATCTCAACATATAGTAATGTAGTTATTTTTTTGTTTTCTTTGGCAGTTGGAAAAATGCATAGATGATGCCACAAGAAAAAATAACTTCCAGTTATTAGAACAATTTCTGCAAACAGAAGACTGTGACATTATCTCTCATAAGTGCAGCAAACAGTTTTTCAACAAATTTGACAAACTTATATGTCGGGTAATTCGCTTTTTGTTTCAAAAATTTCCAGGCTATTATTGCTTGTGGAATATTGCAAAAAACATTATGTGGGATGGTCTGGATTACATCAGCAATTCACTGGAGAGCTGAAAAATAATAGAGACATCAAAACTCAGGGTTTGATAGGGTTCTTAAATTAGTATTTCTTTCAGAGAATGAAATATTCGTTACTAAATATCTACTATTATCTACTGCTCAAATTTCTGTTATTTCAATACACTGACCTTCGGTGCTTTGTCATTTTTCACATTTGGCTGGTAAAGTATCACTTTTCTATCTGTACTAATTTTCTTAATACTCTTCCACCATCTCAATTTATCTAAGGGCACCTTCCTGTGCTCCTTGCCCACCCCAAGTTCCCACAGAGATCATTCTGTTCCCTTTTCACTTCCTTTCAACAAAGAACCATGGGTTAGATTTTCAAAAGTCCTCTGCCTTCATAGGTAGGACCATCTTCCAAAAGAGCTCAGCACCCAGAAGCTCTCACCGAGAATATACTTATTCATCTTATTCAATGGGAACTGCTTGGTGCAAAGTATTTTTGAATAATCTGCCCAATTATTTAGGTGCCTAAACGGGAGCTGTTGTTTGGTGCGTTCTTTTAAACATTTGGCCCCTTAGACTCATGTGATCTCTGCCCACTTAAGGCTCAGTCATGCATTTCTTTTGCATCAAAAACTCAGTGTGTATGTGCAAAGAGAGGTTGTTGAGAGCTTCTCCTCCATCATAATCCCTATACAGAGGCCAGCCACAATGAAAGTTCTTGCACTCTTACTGGGCTAGTGCTTCTGTTTGCTCCTGCCTCTAGTCTACAGAGATATCTGAGAGGAATTTGGGGCAGAGTGTGGTGCAGAAAGGAACACTTGGTTCACCTTTAAGGATGACGCAGTGTCTGCCCTCCTCTGAGCGCCAGGAGATACTGCATTTCCCTGACCTCCCTCAAGGGCAGTAGATTCCACATTGTTCCCAACACTTGACTGCCTTAATGCCACAATTTAACTCTGATTAATTACAACACTAGAAGTCTGCTGGTTCTAAGGCTACTAATTAATCTTTCAGGTAATTTATACAAAAGTTTTATGTTTGTCTGAGCCATTGAGAAGAAATTTCACAATTATATTGTCTGTACGATCTGTATTGCTACAAGAATATAGAAGAGTTTTTAGCTGCAATGCTATGCTTGTATATAGCCAGCAACCTAGCAAAAAAAGTCTTGTTCATGCCACTAGCGTTTTTTCTTCAAAAAGATCTTCCTTTATGATCTCAGTATACTTTGGGATATTTGAATCAATCACACTACATTATATTACTTTTCCTCTGTAATGGTGACCTACTTCTTACTTGACCATTCTAAAGCACCAAATAAATTCCATAGCAGTCATATCTTTTAGTGTTACATTCAGAGGAGTTTACAGTGGCATTGCAGTGCTTTCTTGTATGTATCACTTTAATATCAATATTCCGCATGTACAGTTATTCAGTAGTCCTGTGTTAGAAACACTAATTTAGAAAAAACACATTTCATTTTAATATATGTTAATTATACAAATTTAAACATAATTAAATGTGATTTAAACTTCTAATTGAGTTACAGGGTATTTAGAAGAATGTCAGGAATCTATCTAACTAATTACAGAAAAGACAATTTTTTTAAGTGTCTTGAGGTGTTTTAACAATTATTGTGACAGGTTTTTTTTCTATTTTAAACAAATGCATTTTTATTTTTGAAAGTTTTACTTGTTTACTTGTTCATCTTGAGATTGTTCGTTTGTTCCTGAGGTAAGGTGATTCTCTCCCCAGGCAGAAAAACATTTTCATGTATACATAAATTGATTAGTTACCTCTAATTTTTCAAGAATAAACCTCAACATACTGCTTGAAAATATGCAATTTTGAATGAAAGCTTTAGATTTTATTTGGTTTTACTTTCTTTGACACTAAAATTAGATATCTCTAGTGACCTCCAGTGGTAAAGAGTTGTAATGAAAGCGTATAGATTACAACTGAATCATTGAGGCACCGCTCCAACATTTAACAGCAATTCTCTCTCTCTCTCTCCAACTGCTTGAAAGAGAAATATTATCCAAGCATATGTAATAATTTATGAGAACAAAAAAACATTTATTTTGCTAAATGAAGTACAGATTGCTTTATATTGTACACTGAAGCTTCTATTGGTATTTCAATTTTAGGAACTTGACAAACAAGAAGTCAAGAATGTTTCAACGTTGCTAAATTCTCTTCAGAAATATGGTAAAAATATCATCATACCAGGTGGAGACGGTTTTCCAGCAATGATAAAATATGGTCTTGTTGAAAAGATAAGTATAACAAAAATCATACGTATTGCACTATAAAGCATATATAATGCTATGGGTAGTTTAATAAGCAAACATTTTTTTCAAGATTGTCAGAAATTTTGTTAATTCAGAAATAATTGAAGACCAGAATAACTGATTAATCAGTTCTAAATATTATACAACAAATTATATCTTGTAAAGAGATGCTGATACAGCACAGTGAAGTCTTCATAAATAATGTAAGGTGTAAAGAATTAAGATATTCTAGTAATTATTGTAATAACAATGATGATAGATATTTCATATGAGCTTTGTTCCTGGCTAAATTAGGAACCTTTTGTATTTTTGAAAAAGAGAGAGAAGAGAAAAGTTCTGTTTTAGGTTTTCATAAAATACTGCATTAGTGCCAAAAGCTGGAATTTCCTGGTGCAATGTGTTAATAAATTTTGCATTAGAGCTAGCAATAGGCGCCTCAGATCTAGCACCTTCAAAGGGTTAACATACAATTTCAGTTAATTACTACCAAATCAACCTTTACAATATGTGCACCAATCCATGACTCAAACCTGTATATTCATACTGATACTATATAGACCACTTCCAGCTTACATTCAGTATCTGTTTCGCTGAATAGAATTAACAGTGGTAGCCTTAGAAAAATGTTTGCCGCTGGCTTGTTTCTCAGTTGCTTTCAGAAAAAATAGAAAAATGACAAGATGGGTGATAATTGCATGACTCTATTCACATCTATAGACAAATTTTCAGCCAGCCTTGTACCCTCTCCCACTTTTTTGTGTAAACAATAGCAGTCACAAAACTGGGCACATAGTTACTGTGAGTACAAATCATGCAGTAGGGTATGTAGTTACAGAAGTGATCACTTTGATGGGTAGAAATCAGCTGTATTTTCAAGTATATATGCAAAATTGGAGGCTGCGGTTGTAATCTACTCAAAGAAATCTGGACACTTTTAAAAATAGAATAATCTGGAAATGTATACTACAAAATATTGCTAGTTTGCTTCATGTTTAATAATAAAAGTAATGTTTTTCCATTTACATGGTTAGTTGGTTTGAAAAGGCAAAAGAAATTCTGATATTTAGAGGAAATGAAAAAAATGAAGCACTTACAAGTCTAATTGAAGATTTCTTCGATGTTTTGATGGTAAAATATTTCATAAACCATTTTATAAAATATTAAGCATGTATTTATAAAAACAGTGATTTAACAGCAAAAGACATTTTCAAACATTCTTTTCCTACTTAATTTTCTTTTTCACCTAATGTTGCACTGATGCAGTTTTTTACAAAAATAGATTAGAAGCTTATTTTGTTAAAAAATACTATACTTGCATTCAGACTTAATTATTCCATATGTACAGGAAATACTGCCTACTAATAAAAGACCTGACCATGCAGGTGCTTAGTGCACAAAATTTCCTACCTTATCCTATTAGTTTATCCAAAAAGTAGTAGCAGTGCATGTCTATTAAGTCTTCGAGGCCCTGATCATGCAACCAGTTTACATACGTGCCTAAATTTATGAAGAGAGACGAGGTAGGTGAGGTAATATCTTTATTGGACCAACCTCTGTTGGTGAGCGAGACAAGCTATCAAGCTATCCAGAGCTCGCCCTCTGGTCAGGGAAAGGTACTCGGAATGTCATAGCTAAATACAAGATCAAACAGATCGTTTAGCATAAGTAATTAGCGCACATTCAAGCTGTGACACTGAGTACCTTTTCCGAGACCTAAAGAAAAGCTCTTTGTAGCTCAAAAGCTTGTATCTCACCAACAGAAGTTGGTTCAATAAAAGATATTACCTTATGCATCTTGTCTCTAATTTCATAGGACTGACACAGCTACAACATCACTCCATATAACTTTATGCAGTCATTGGCACTACTCATGTTCATAAAATTAAGTGTGTGCATAAATGTTTGCACCATTAAGGATTTAATTATTGACATGTATATTCTATATTGGAATTGGCAAAGGTTCAGAAATCATGCAGTAGGGTACGCAGTTACAGAAGTCATCACTTTGATGGGTAGACATCAGCAGTAGGATAGGTTCAGAAAAGGGCAACAAAAATGATTAGGGGTATGGGACAGCTTCCATATGAGGAGACATTAATAAGACTGGGACGTTTCAGCTTGGAAAAGAGACAACTAGGGGGATACGATAGAGGTCTGTAAAATCATGACTGGTGTGGAGAAAATAAATAAGGAAAAGTTATTTACTCCTCATAATACAGGAACTAGGGGTCACCAAATGAAATTAATAGGCAGCAGATATAAAATAAACAAAAGAAAGTATTTCTTCACACAATGCACAGTCAACCTGTGGAACTCTGCCAGAGGATGTTGTGAAGGCCAAGAGTATAACAGGGTTCAAAAAAGAACTAGATAAATTTGTGGAGGATAGGTCCACCTATGGCTGTTAGCCAGGATGGACAGGGATGGTGTACCTAGCCTCTGTGTGCCAGAAGCTGGGAATGGGTGACAGGGGATGGATCACTTGATGATTACGTGTTCTGTTCATTCCCTATGAAGCACCTGGCATTGGCCGCTGTCGGAAGACAGGATACCGGCTAGATGGACCTTTGGTCTGACCCAGTATGGTCGTTCTTATGACAGATATATTAAAATAATATACATGTTTTAGTTGTGGGAGAGAAATGTAAAATCTGAACATTGACCAAATATTTTTAGGTATATGGACACAAAGTAAATTATTCTGCATCTTAATATGTAAAGTATTTAAAATGTATTCATATTCTCATTTTATTATAGCTTGTACATGATACCAACAGTGAAGGTATGTACAAAAATCAGTATTTAAGTTACTATTAGTTTGCTAATCCTATCCACTTTTTGATTGATCACTAATGAAATAGCTTCTTTATATTAATGGCAAAGGATCTGATCTAGTCAAAATCAATGACCTTTGGTACCATGTGTATTCTGGAAAGTCTTGGATATTTGATCTACTATGGAAATCCCCAAACAAACAAGCATTTGTGGAGCTACCTAGAAACATAAGAGCTCAAACAAATAAGCTTTTAAGTCCTTGAGAAATTAAAGCTCCTCACTTGCAGATGCCAGTGTGAAGCTAGCAGAAAGTGTTCCCACAGTATGTTGAAGCACTTCTCCTATGTGATCATGACTGAACTATGTGCATACAGAATTGTGTTTTGCCAAAGAAGTGTGACATTTGTTAAATTGCTGTAGCAACTAATAAGCACTTTCTTTTTCAAGTATGTGTCCATGAGGATCTCACACTATATGGGCGAAGTCATAATCTTTCAAATAAGTGTCCATTGGGCCACACAGGTCCTCGTGCCCCCCACCCAAGATCATGGCAGAGTGGCTGCAACTGTTTTTGTTTCCTCTTACTGCCCATGGCAGTGAAAGGGAACTAGTGGTGTGTGCCTGCTACCCTTTAGAAGATTTCTCTTCTACCAGTAGTTATCTACTTACAGTTAAGTTTCCCTAAATACTTCTCCTTTATTGTTTTGTTTTTCTGATTCAGATGAAAAAAACAAAACAACCCCAATCCTCCACCCCCAGATTTCCTAAATTTTTCCTGTCTGATCAAAGGCACATCCCATCAGGAGCATTGCTGCAGATCCCATGCTGCAGCCTTGAACTATGTCCATCAGTCATTCACTCAGCTGGGCCTCATAGTTAACTATAAAAAATCATCTCTCATTCCCTCACAGACAATAGAATTCATGGGAGCTGAATGCAACTCCTAACTGGCAAAGTCATATGTTTGATTTATTTCTTCAGTTGATAATCACCAGTATCAAATTGAATCCAGCAACTATAGTACGGAACTATCTCAGACTTTAGGTCACCTGTCAGCCTGTACTTGATGTTGCTTGCCAGGCTTTACCATCATCTATTACAAGCTTAGTTAAGATTGGGGTATTGCCCTATGAGACATCAAATGTGTATGCAGATTGTTGTTTCATCACGCAGTCTTTGATCTCTGAACTGAACACCTCTCTCTGACCTCCAGACATTTCAGAGAGAGGTCTTTCTCCTACAAAGACACTGATCATGGATGCATTGGGGACAGGTTGGGACATGCATCTTGCCACTTCTAAATACCAGGAACCTGTTCTCAAAAGGATATGACTCTTCACATACATGTTCTGAAGTTAAGAGTAATCAGAGTAGCTTGCATGGCATTCTATCCTGTCCTGTGGAATTCCACAATGCAGATTCTCACGGACAACACATCTGCAGAGTACTCTGTAAGCAAGCAAGGAGGTGCTGCTCATCACCTCTGTGTCAGCAGGTTATCAGATTATGGATGTGATGTCAACAACATGGGATAACCTCAAGAACTCTTCATCTCCCAGGAGTCAACAACAATCTAGGAGACTTTCTTAATAGACAATCCATGACCAACTGCAAAGGATATCTGAAGAGCTCCATCATCAAGCCAATATTTCACCAGTGAGGCCATTCAATAATAGTCCGGTTTGGTAGCAGTGACAATGTAGAATGTCCAGCCTTTCGTTCTAGGGCAAGCATGAGCCCTTGAACAAAAGAACCTTCCTCATACCATGAGATCAAGGTGTATACCTTTCCAATCCCCTTGATTCCAAGAGTGGTGTACAAGATCAGGCAGGATGTAATTATACTAATCCTGATGTCTCCATGTTGTCTGAAACCATGCTAGTTATTTTCTCCACATGTCTATTCAGCCTCCTATACCACTTCCAGTACAAAAGATCCTACTGCAAAGTAGGACGCTTTCCACAAGGAAAACTTATTCCTGTAAATGGAAAAGATATTTAATCTGGACAGCTCAATACAGTCTTGACATGGTGAAGGCCCTTACTTCAAAGACCCTGGACTCTATTCTGCATTTAAAATATTCTGGGTTATGGTAACTCTGCCATTTATGCCCACGGGTCAAGGTAATGCATAGTGCAGGCCTGACCCACTACTATTTAAAAGGTTCTGAGCTCATGTTTGTGGGGCACGTGCATATCTAGAGTTGAATCCACACAGATGACATCTCAAAGAACCTCATCTATAAGGTAAGCAGCCGCTCTTTGTGCATTTTAACTGCAATATATGGAATTTAGGATGTCGGTACACTAAATATCAGCGGTCTTGTGTGACTTTGGAAAGGAATGATTAATATGGATAGTTTCATTTGTAAATAAAAACATTTTTATTGGATATATAATAATGCTAGACTTGTGAATATTGTTGAAAAACTAATGTGTGCAAAACCTCTCAGTTCATGGATAAACTGCTTTTTAACTTTTTTTTCTTAATTGATTAGGTAAAATACAAACATTAGAAAGCTTTGTACTGAGAATATGTACCCTTGTTGCTGATGTAAGAATCAATATTTATATTCAGCAAGAGGTAAAAAAAAATTTAACCAACATTTTTATTAGTAGGCATTTAACAGAAGGTTGTGAATTTCCTTAGTAATTTAGCTAGACATATACTGTGAAAAGGGGAAGAACAAAATATTTGTAGAAACATTTAATGATCCTGCCATCTCTCTAAGAATGTACGAAAGTTTACTTGCCTAGACTAAAATTTCCATTTTAGGCAATAAAGTACAAAGCATATGCTATTTGTTATACAAATACTATAGTGATAAGCATATACAAGCATATAAAATAATATGCTATATTGAAATTGCCAGAAGTATCTTTCTTCAAAGTCTGTTAATGAAAAATGGTTAATAAATTGTGTCTGTAGTATACAGTATTATACTTAGTATGCGTTCATGTCAATAAAATATCTTGGGTGAAATCGTGCCCCTATTGAAATCAATGGGAGTTTTCCCATTGAATTTAATAGGGCCAGGATTTCATTCCTTGGGTATGAAACTCTTATAAAATCATTACCTTTTATAGAAAGACACACTTCATTAAGGACTAAATTTTCAAAAGTCCATCCTTTTTTATGGATTCATATTGCCCACATTTGTTGCATCCATAAAAATTGCAGGTAATTTTTGCTCCCGCAATGAATTATAGGCACCCTGATTTACATCAACAGGTCAGGATGTTGGCCTTTTAAGTACTTACATTAGTGTCCGTGTTAATGTAATTAATTGAAGTCCGATTGTGTTGCTTTGAATTTACACTAGTGTAACTAAGATCAGCACCTGTCACTCTTTTATTTTGCGTTGTGTCACAACTTTAGTTATTTAAACATGTTCTTTTCTACTTCATATGTTATAAACCTACATCACTGTAAGCCCACAATGTAAAGAGAGAATAATTTAAAAACCTATTAAAAAAGTTTAATAGTGTGTTTCTTTGTAAACATATTCTTTTTCCCCCTATCTTTAGGCTGTAAGAAAACTTAATTCAATGCTTGATACCATGCCTCGAGAAGCCAGAAAAAAAATTATTTCCACGAAGGAAATGTTGCTTGTCATGTAATTAATTAATCTTTAATATACTTTTTGACATGAATATATTGTTTACGTAGTTGTGAAGAAAACTTTTTACACCTGACTATTTTATTGGAGCCATTTATAACTGTACAAATATAGGCTCTATTCAATCCGTGATTGCCTTTATCACTACGTAGCAGATGGAGATTGCACTTTAGTCTATGCAGGTAATCCTTCCTTGGATGCTCAAATCTGCCCTTCTCTCAGTCATAGTTAGGGTCCACCTCACCTGATTGTCCTAAAATAATTGGTTCTTGGGAATCACTTAGGAGTCTTTATGAATGCACTGATTGGAGGGTAGATTGTTCATCCAGGGAAATGTCTTGAAAGGTCTGCATAGCCAAAAGAGAAATCTCCAGGCTGACAGGTCAGAAACAGAAGTGGAACTGTCATCCTTGAAGAAAGATGCATGGAGTCGGTGGAAAAAATATTGTGATTTCAGAGGGGTGGAATGAGGAAGAGAGAAGGAAGCTACTAGCACCTTTTTCATATGAGAAGACCCTCTCCATGGGGAGGGATGGTACTGCTATATTGGGTCACCTCCACCCCCCCACTTTCCCCAAGTGGATTTGAAATGAGTTGCCTTTCATTTCTTCCCTCAACTACAGGTTTTCTTCTTGTTTCTGTTTTTAAAAAAATCTCCAGCATGTGGGACTTCTCCCAGTTTCCTCTGGTGGACATGGGGTTGGAAATTTACAGTGGCTCTAAAGTTTTTTTTGCAGAGCCCCAGCAGCATGGCAGAGGAAGAGGTTTGGATTGAAAATCTAAATCTTCTGCACAATCCAGGTTCTCAAACAGGACAGGGAGTAACACCATGTGTGGAGTGGGAAGGGGGAGGCATGGAGAGTTCTAGAGTTCTTCACCACCACCACCATCCCCAAAGACTTAGAACAAAACAGGTGCATCTGCAGGTCTTTCACACACAGTTAAGGATGCTCACTACACATTTGGCCAGTAAATTCCTATATTTTAAAATTACTAATTTATCCTGAGCCAAAAACACTGCTGTTTCATAGAATATATATTGGCCCCATTGAAGTCAATAGCAAAACTACCAATAAGTTCAGTGGAACCAGGATTTCACTCCATATTTTGAAAGTTAAACTCTCTGATGCCAATATAAGCTTTTCTTATGTACTTTTACATTGCCATTTTATTTGGGTCAAACTGAATCTTCTACATTGTTTATTTCACAGGAATGATATGGGAAAGAGAATTTTAGATGCTGGAGGTAAGCACAGAACCTCACTTAAAAGGTTCATTATTAAACTGTAATTATTTTGATGTTATATACCCATTAAAAAGCCTGGCAATAAAAAAAGACAAGACTAGCAGTATTCAGTCATCTGAAAAATGTATTTTTCAGAATGGCAGTTTAAAATGGCACATATGCAATATTAATATACATTTAGAAATTTTAAAGCATTTGGAGTATTTTAGGAATATATGTAATGCTCCATCAGTCCCTCCTGGCCTTCTCCACCATAGAAGTTCCAAAATGAATTGATATAGTGTGGACCTTTGAGGACCATTATCTGCCAGCACAGGTTAGAGCAGCCTTGAGAGTTAGTTTGTCTCCCAACAACTTCTGGTGGACAGTAAGCTGGTATATAGCCACCTATGACGCTCTCACCTTCCATGTGTGATTGCTGTTCTGGTGCACCTGGGGATCTAGCCTGTAATACTTATTTTTGAATCGTAGTTTCTTTAACAGCTTTATAGCCATTTTTTGTAGGACATCACTGCATTATATGGTGGCATTTTATTTAATATCAATGTAAGAACTTCTAAAGTGTACTTTAGTTTCTTTTTAAGTTGAAATAGCTTTGATTTTTTTATATAAGACCTTATGTTCAACAATATTAGTATCTGTTTCCTACATATAAACTTTTAAGCTTGGCATTCTGTTTAATAGTGCTGTTCCTGTAAAATGTATTATAGACTATGACTTGCAAGTAGCCATTACTGAAGCTTTATGCAGAATGACATCAGAAAAACAAAGAGGAGAACTGGCATGCCAGTGGTTTTCTATGGAGTTTGTGACCAATGCATTTAAAGGAATTAAGGACTCCGAGTTTGAAACAGTAAGTCAAAAAAAGCACTAATTATTTTCAGAGAGAGAAAATGTTGCATTACTTAAAGGTGCTCTGCTTCTTAATAGGACTGCAGAAAATTTCTTAACCAGGTGAATGGAATGCTTGGAGACAAAAGAAGGTAAATGAGTATTGCTAAAGGAAAGAAGTTTTCTGTTTGGAATCGAATGACTATTCAGAAACAAAAAGTCTGAAACCTCCCCCCTTTTTTAATGAATTCTGAGCTATAATAATATTAGCAGAAGAACAGGATGCTGCTCTGTTGCAAAAACAGCAAAAGTGCCATGCACAACTATAACATTTTAGAGTCAATAAATAGCAAATATAATGAGAAATGCTGAGGGGTTTGGCATATGTTCTTTTATATATCTGTTATCTTTTATAACTAGATGCTGGGTTTATAAAATTCCCACGTGTGTGTTTAAAAAAAGATAACTTAAAGTTAGGATTGTTAGGGAATAACTATTACAAGAAATACATACAAAGAGTATTACAGTTTTTAAAAATAACTAAGAAATAAGAAACAGAAATGTTCAGTTCTCTCTCTTTGGCGCAAGATGAATGGAAACAAGGTCATACATGCATTGTCTGCAATCACATTCTTTATGTCTCCATTGCAAGATCCTTAGACTTTCTAGTCCTGGAAGAAGGTGGCTCTCAAGTACTGTGGGTCAGATTATCATTGATTCCAATAGACTTACACCAATTTACATCAGCTGAGGCTATGGCTATGGCTATATATCACTTATCCCATGATTCCTTTTATTTAGGCTATCTTTAGACTGAGATAATGCACTAGTCCAGGATGATACCTGTTGGAGAGGTTGGACCTAGCAGAGGTGAAGAAATATATATATGTTGAGGGTACTCCACATGTCATTTTAGTCTTATGAGTTGGCAGGATAGTTCAGTGATTATGTGATATGCACTCACATCAAGGGTCTATTCAGTTCTTATTTTAAAATTATTGCAGCCCAATTCTGTTTTTGCTTAAATTGTGAGGGTGCATTGTGGAAAACTGGAAAGTAGTTATATTTTTATAACTATCATATGCCCTTCAGTGTATCTGTGTCATAGTATCCTGCCTGAATGCATAGTTAGATGAAAGGAGTTGTTAAGGAAACCAGGCAGGAAAGATAAAACAATGGCTTCAGCGAGGAGCTGCTTCTCAAATGCAATAGCCAGATTTATAGCCATGAAGAGGGACTCTTCAGATCCGACTCTGGCAACTGGGCTGTTTGCCAAGGCAAAGACCCTGGAAGATCAAAAGACCTGACCACTTGAAAAGGTTCCACTGCAAGGGTTGAGGGAGTGGTCAGCATGCCATGAAGTTGACACAAAGAGTTTGTTCTGCAGACTGGCAGAGACCGATTGCGAGCCAGGGTCATAGAACCTTAAAAATGTAGGGCTGGAAGGGACCTCAAGAGGTCATCTAGTCCACCTCCCTCCTTCCCCAAACAGAAAGCAGGCTACAATCTGATCTCCAAGAGAATGGGAGACACCAAAGCTAAGTCATGTCTACCTAGGGGCTCAAGGGGAATGGCAAGCATGGATAAGACAATGTATATAGGTCTTTTTGTTCATAGAATCATAGAATATCAGGGTTGGAAGAGACCTCAGGAGGTCATCTAGTCCAACCCCCTGCTCAAAGCAGGGCCGTTTGTTACTTTAGTCCTCTTCTCTAAGCATTGTGTACCTATTGTGGCAAAATAAATCATACTTTGTTTTGGAGAAGCTGCTTCTGTGTCACTACATAGTGTTGTTATCCAGAGGCTGCCAGAGGAAAACCCTTCCAGATGCCAAGCCCACTGGGCCAGCTAAGTAATATGGTTAGCAACCAGCGGCAGGATGTAACCCAAAGACAATGTCAGAGAGTGGTTGGGCCATGGGACCCCATCCTAAAGAGAAGTGGAGGCACTAGAGATGCACTTGGGGGAGAGGGAAAGAAAGGATCTCCGCAACAGCAGCCAACCCAGTGACTGTGACATGCATACATGTAATTTTTTTACTTTTTAGAGGGCAACTTTTGGATAGTCCACCTTCCTTGACTGTCGCACTGATTGCTTTCAACTCTTTTTCTCTGAAGTAGAATTTTTTGGCAGCGGGGAGGGGAACTAACCCATTATTTTTATGTTGTTCTAGTCTAGGCATAAAGTAATGTACATAATTTTTCAAAAAGATTTACTAAGTATTTTTCTTATAGGGTTTTTACATATCCTTGTTTGTCAGCAATCCTTGATAAACATGAGGTAAATTACAACTTTATTGTGAATTGTATAGATTTTCCCTTAATACAACTAATGTATAGTTCTGTCTGTAAGTAGAGAACAATTGGAATACACAGAGAGTAAAACAAAGATTATTTTAAAGTGCTGTACAGACATCTTGTATGTATTTAAGGTTTGTTTAAATTACCTACTTTTGTGTTATAATACATTATTTTGGGAACCTCCTGTTCCTTCTAAGTTAATTTTTTATATATTTTAGCTACAGATACCTTTGGATGAAAATCTTGAAGAATTTTGGATTGATTTTAATGTTGGTAGCCGAAGTATATCCTTCTATGTTGCAGCAGATGATGAAGTAAGCTCACTTTCCCTGATCATATGGAAAAAAAATTTTTTTTTTCAAAGAAAACAATTAGCCCGGAAAGGGACATTCTCAGCACTACTGTGAAATTGGAGAGTGTATTGCAAACCAGTACAGTTCATTTTAAAATAAGTGCTAAGTGGAAATACATAGATGGTATCTCACTTATTCTTAAAACATAAATATTAAGAGCAAATGGATGGCAAGTACCAATTTACAGCATTATTCCATGAGGTTTTTACATACTTGGAAATTGTGTCCCACATTTTGTAATATGTTTATACACACAATTTCCTGTGTAGTTCTATGCCTAAGTTGTTTGACAATCTGTTTTATGTGTTCTCCTTCAGATAGGCAGTGGCATTACTGATCGATCAGCCATAACACATCAGTTCAACTTCAGTTGAGATTCTTTCATTTGCTAAATCCCTTACATGTTTTTTCACATCAGATGTGTACAACTTCAACATAGTAAAAATTACAGGCTGTTAAAACTAAGAATTTCCCTTCTGAATCTAATTTGCAGCTGTTCATTGCTGAGTGGGTCTGCATCAAATGTTCTAATTTCATCTTTGGAAATGTCACTCACACCAAAGGAGTCAGAGTGGGCACTTCTGCTCTTCAAGTGCTGATCCACAGGGTTCCTAACATTCAAATGAAAGTCAGCATATCCTGGAGATAATAAATTAGCAACCATATTCTTTCATTGATAGCTTTAATCCTCTCACCTATTGCTTTAGGTATACAAGAAGCCCTTTATATGATGGAAAACTCAAATTGCTGCTTTAGTTAGTGTTTTCATCAGAAGTCATTTTTTATATTATGGGGCTTCTGAATTTAGGAAGTTCAAGATTTTCTCTAGGTGAATAGGCATATGACCAGTACACTCAGTTATTCTTTTTTCCTTGAAAAAAGGTGAATGACAATCTAACTTTATTTCAAAAGAAAGAAAATGTGGATAAATCTACTGATAGTAGGAGTTGAATTTATCTTTGATTTACTCCTATTTCAAAATAGCAATTTATTTTTTATCCACCTTCCTTCTAAACTGTATAACTGCCCAAAAGCACCATAATGGTCTGACCCTAAAGTTGACCCAGTAATTGCAACTTCTTCCCACGAACCAAGTCATCTCTGCCTTTGATATGGCAATATGGTTAGCACCTCTTGATGGAAGTATGATAGGACTTTCAACATAGATTTTAATTTCTCTGTTTAAGCTGCCAGTTTTTATTTTTCTGAACTGAGGTGGTCCTGATCAAATCTCACATGGTATGTCTACGATGCAATTAGGCAGCCGTGGCTGGCCAATGCCAGCTGGCTCGGGCTTGCAGGGCTCTGGCTGCAAGGCTGTTTCATTGCAGCATAAACTTCTGGGCTCAGTCTGGAGCCTGGGCTCTAGGACCCTGTGTGGTGGGAGGGTACCAGATCCCGGGCCTGGGCTGGCACCCAAGTTCTGGGAACCTCACACCTCACAAGGTGCTGGAGCCTCTGCTCTTGCCTGAGCCTGGAAGTCTATACTGCCGAAGTCCCGGGAGCCTGAGTCAGCTGTCATAGGCCAGCTGCAGGTTTTTCGTTGCAGTGTAAACATACCCACTGTCTTTGCAACATGCCTCTTTTTTCTGACAATTCCACATAGGGTTCATGCAGTTTGTCATATGATGGTGAATGTGTCCAGAAAAGTGTTTTGTTCAGACCTTCCTTGAAATACTAGTTTTATTTATTTGCCTATTTAAAGTGATCATCTGTCTGGGAAAGATACAGCTGAAGTATTAAGGTATATGTCATTGGACAAGCGATCTGTTCTTCATTTGCAAGATAAAGATGTTGTTCCTCATAGGATTGCCCCTAATTTCCAGAGTAATAGGATTGCGCTCAAATCCTTAGTTTCCATGCGCTTCACGAATTTTGTCATTCACTTCTTCTGCACATCTGCAGTACTCCAAGTAGGACCCCGGGGGTGGGCAGTTTAGCTTTATTGATGAGGCATAGGCTGAGATTAATATTGACAGATGAGTGATCTTTAAGGAATACTGCATGCATTTTGACTCACTTAGCATACTTCTTCTTTGCTCTTATGCACAGATGGAGGAGAGTGCTTTCTACACTGTATGGCATTCTTTTCATATTAGACAGATGTTTCCATTTTAGTGCAAGAGTTTGTAAAATGTTGGCAGGTCACATATATTTGTATTAGAATTTTTGGAAAATGTGGGAATCCTTCATTGCTACGAGGACTGAGTATTGTATTTCAGAGGCATACCATGCTGAAGAGATAAGCTATTTTCCACAAGTAGGGCTATGATTGCTTCCTGGACAGAAAAGGGAGAGCCCATCCTAAGAGTACTTTTTAGAATTCCGTTTGTTCATTTATTCTCTGTTAGAGGTTAGCTATTCTGTTTCAGCAGCCACTAGATGTGTTACTGTTGAGACTTTGAACTCTCTTGAACTTATTCTTTTATTGTCCTTTGCCCCATACTATCTCACACTGTTGCCAGATATCATAAGTTTTTGTACTGGTGAGTCTGAGAGTTCAGATGTGAGAAATACCTTTCCTTTTATAGAATTTTAGTTTCTGCATTTCAGCTCCTTCATTCAGAATACATTCTTTACATCCATTCCAGTTTGTTCTGAATTGATGGATTTGAAATATCTATAAAAATTTTTATGTCACAAATGTCTTGATGGTTCAGGATATTATTGTTAAAGAATAATTGTAATAATGCATATTTACATTTAATTGATTTATCATTTAATATGAGTTTTTATTTTCAAAACATCTTGTTTTTTGTTTGAGGATCAACAATGGGAAACAGTCAGCATACCTGAAGAAGAGGTAGAAATGTACAGTCTTGAAGGTACTGACACACATGAATGTATTCTTTTACTCCTAAATTATTCTGTCTACCTAACTATAAATTAATTTGATATTCTGAGTTACTTTGGATGAAATCCTAAAGTCCTTACTCAGTTCTTAAATGAGCAGAATTCTCATTGCTTTCAAGAACTTCAAACCTATGCATTTATATGGATTTGTTAGTTGCGCAGTTGCTCTGCAAAATGCATGCTTAATTTCCTTGTGCAGTTACCACAGCTGCATACATATTTTGGGTGACTGTTCACAAGTGGCTAATTATGATTTCTTTGCATCTACCTGATTTGCATAATTAATTATATTTGGACATGCACATTAAATATACAGTTTTGACTTATTTTAAAATGTTATAAAATTATTTATAAACATATATTAAGGAAAAGCCCACAGCATGAAAGAGTGATGCATTATAATTTATAAAACTCTTCGAATCCTGATTTATGAAATTATTGCAAAATTTTGGAAAATATAATGGTATTGCAAGAATTTTATTGGGAGAATAAAATTAACTTGTTCTGCTATTATAATTGTTGTGACAGGGAATATAAATATTATTGGGCTTGATTTCTTCAGTGCCTTGTAGTCACTTAAACCTTTACAAAACGGGTGCAAAACGCTATCAGATTGGAAATCTGTACTCATGTACAACACTGTCAGTATTTTACACCCACTTGTCATTTTACCCAGGTGTTACCAACTACACAAACTGCAAGGCAGTGAAGAATCTGGCCCGTTTTCCAGAAAATTATAAAAAATGTAAAGAATTAAACCATACGTTCTACAGTACTTATTAATTAGCCTGAAAACACAGTAAATATCTTTTAAAGTACTTTATTTTTTAGAAAAATAATTATTTTTCATACAGTTGAACTTTGAATTGTTTCATTTAAATATAATCCAATTTAGTTTTGATTAGAGAGCAGCAGGTAGGCAAATTGATAACTCTAGAATTCAACTGAGTTTCATGTTCTTTCAAGTGCTAAACAAGAAGTGTTTGAAGACTAATGAATGCTTCATCTTTGTGCAGAAAAAGAGTCAAAGAAGTTACTAACAATAATTCTAAAAAATCCAGTAACTGTGGGTAATCAAGAAGGGGAGCAAATGTTCCTATATTTTGATCCTGTCTTGAAAATCATGGAAGTGGTCCGAAAAGTTTATGGTGCAAATAAATGTAAGGTAAGACTTAAATTTTCTTCCTTTTTCAGCATTTTCTGTCCAACTGAAAAAAAAATGATTTCACTGTGGATCTGTTATTTTAAGATGGTTTCTTTATTGATATTGTTATGTATTGAGATGCTTACTAACGTTTTCACAATAGATGCTCCAGCATTTCTATTATAAGCTTTTCTGTTAAGGGTTAACAGCTTTTAAAATATACTGCAATTGAGTTTAGTGGGCTATTTATAATTGGTGTTTAATTGGACATGATAGAGGTTGAGACGAAGATTTATAGTATTGTGTGTCTGAAAAAATGTATGTGCAATTATTGGATGCACGCAAAGGCAGCGAATGCATGCACATGGACATTTAACTGTGTATTTGCCATGCATTTACCACTGTTATGAGCACAACCCCAGTAATTGTGCATGCAAACTAGCAACTTGGTAAATAAATGTGTGTGGTTTTTGAACAGGGAGGGACCTTTTTCCATTCTATTAATCTGGGCATGAATTAATGTTAAACCAAAGAATTAGTTGAAATCAGTATGTAACAGGGCCGCCTCCTGTCTAACTTGCCTAATCGGCTTCATAGACTGTACAGACTATTTAAATACAAACAAGAATTTGGAATTCCTGTGGTGAAAATTTTTTGTCCATTTTTGTTTTATTCTTTCTTAGATAAGAAAAGGCCTTTCTAAAGATTCCCGAGATTCCTTCTGAATTTCATTCTCATTCTTTTCATTGTCATGTATTTCAGTGTACCACATTTCTTACAAGTGAATGTAGACCAACAATCTTGCCATACAAATCATGGACCATATTGTCCCATCCTTCTCTGCAGATGGAGGGAAAGAAAGCAGTCAAATCCTGGTGGGGGGAGCCTTGGTAGGAAACACTGCTGCTTTGGTGGCTCCCTCTCAACCTTGCAAAAGTCTCTCTGTAGGATTTGGGTTCCTTGAGTTGGGAAAGAGAAAGAATGGTACGACAGATGTTGCCTACATCACCTCTCCCATAAAGTAGCGGGCTTTCTGGGAACATAATAGTGCATTCTTTAGTAGGACATTAATAAACCTCACCCGCCTCCATGATGTGGAACATCCCATAAGGGGAATTCTAGTACCAGTGGCTTCCAGAGGAATCACTGACTGCACTACGGCAGGAGAATTTGCTCCCAGGAAGCCAGAAGTTTCTGTGACCCAGAGCCATTGTGGGACTCCACATAGATGACCATGTGCCTCTGGATATCCTAAGATTTGCTGGTTTGAAGAACTTAACTCCCTGTTACTTGTGTGGATTAGCAAACTGCTCTTCCCTAAACTCCATCTTATGGAAGAATTCATAATAAACTCATCTGGTGCAAAGTTGAAATATTTTCCCCTATGTGGGAGTAACCTGAGTTGAGGACTATATAACCCCATTAACTTAATGTTTTATTTGTGATTCATATAGAAAAAGACGAGAAAGATTAGAAGATAGAACAAATGTATATTTTACATTAATTATTTGTGTTTTGTAGGGATTTACCAAGAAGCAAGCCACATCAGTTGCCAAAACATCAGTTCATATAATTTTTGATGAAAGTGGATCACAGGTACGTTACATAGTTCTGATTGGAAAATTATTTTAATCATGGGGATTTTCAGCCCCAAATCATGTGTCTTTTCAGGGGCCTTACACAGTTGAGAGAGGAGACAGGCTGTCATAAATGATGCATTTTGTTAGATGGATTTCTCTATTGGTTGTAGTCATCATGATCAAACCTAAAGACATTTAACATGGTATTTCTCTTATGTTGATGTTCTCCAATAGCCAGCAATTCTCTTGCTTATGAGCCAGTTTGGTTGTTACAAATCATGATAAGAACAGATGGGCTTTTAAGGCAGATAGTAAATGGTTGGAAGATAGATAAATAACTAACATAACAAACTTTTTTTATTTTGTTTTCTTAAATAGAAATCTTGTATTTATTTTTTCAAAAAGCTCCAGCAACATACAAATCATAAAGCTATTTAGACAAAATCTATGCAAAGAAAACTCACTGAGTAGCTATGATAACAATTAATATGATTCAGGAAACTTTATACATAACCATATTCAGGATAGCGCTTAGACGTTTTCCTGAATAGGAATGCACTTAAGCACATGTTTAAGTGTTTTCCAGAATTGGAGCCACTAGTCTTCCACACTCCTTAAATTTCCCTCCAGTGGCAGCAATGATGGGAGTTATGCTATAGACGGGGCTCCAAGAAGCAGCTGGCATTTTAACAACTAGGTTGTCTAACACTTTTATAGCAGGTATATTCAAATATGGTGGGTACCACTCGCAGATCCCAGTGCATTATTTGTAGTAGCTGCTGCTACTATGAGTGGACCTACGTCACTGGGAAATTTTAGGAGGAACATTTAGAATAGACAAGGCCAAAATACACAGATGTAGTGAATGTGGGGGGTGGGGGGAGCTACAGAGGAAATCATTAAAACATTCTAAGTCAGGAACTTTGAAAGCAAACCAATCTGAGTAGAGTTTTTAGTGCCCCATTTCCTTCCTACAATTCATTCTGTATTTTTCCCCTCACCTTTTCGTGCCATGTTCCACATAAACCCCTACTCACCTTGCAAGCAGGAAGACAGTCATGAGAGAAGCTGCAGTGGTGGACCAGAGTTACATACAAAAGATTGTAAGCAGTGATGAACCCAGCAGTATTATTTAGGGCCTGTTCTGGCAAACTCTCCCACTTGTCTAGTCATACTGCATGTGAAAAGTTTAACAGACGTTAACAGGGCTACTATTTAAGTAAGGTTTTGTGGAATTGTGCGCTTTTTATTTATTTTAAAATAATATATTAAAATGACATGTGATGTCATTTTTCCCAAAATACTGAGTAGGTTCTTGTACCGGAAAGTCAATTGTCACCTTGCTTGAAAGAAAAATCAGGAATGGAAGGGAAATCCAATAAGTCTGTAAAACAAAAACTTCCTGTACAACAAAGGAATCAGAATAAAAAAACTAACCAAGAGAACTGCAAAAATATTCAATCTAAGGTAAGTATGTTTATCAAAACAGAAATAGCATAAATAAAAATTAAATTAAATTCTCGGTTATAGAGTCATGATTAATATATTGTAGTTACACTGCAGTTCATAGACTTCAAGGTTAGACAAAACAGTCATGATCATCTACTCTGACCTCCTGCACTTTGCAGGTCAGAGAACCTCACCCACCCACTCCTGTAATAGACTCATAACCTCTGGGTGAGTTACTGAAAATCTCAAATCATGATTTAAAGGATTCAACTTAAAGAGAATCCACCATTTACTCAACTTTAAACCAGCAAGTGACCCATGCTGTAGAGGAAAGCAAAAAAACCCAAACCCCACAGTCTCTGTCAATCTGACCTGGGGGAAAATTCCTTCCCAACCGTAAATAAGACAGTCAGTTAGACTCTGAGCATGTTGGCAAGACCACCAGCTGGACACCTGGGAAGGAATTCACTGTAGTAACTCAGAACCCTCCCCATCTAGTGTCCAATCTCCAGGTGTTGGGGATATTTGCTACTAGCAGTTGCAAAATGGCCATGTGACTTAAAAACTTATCAATCTAAGTTTCGAAACCACTTAGGTTTTTTGCCCTCACAGCCTTTGAAGGCTGTTCCACAACTTCACTCCTCTGACAGTTAGAAACCTTCATCTAATTTCAAGCCTAAACTTGTTGATGCCAGTTTATATTCATTTGTTCTCATGCCAACATGGGCACTTAACTTAATACTAATTATCACTAGGCTATATAACTGAAGGTTAACTATCTTTCTGAATTTTTAGCTTTTTGGTTTAAAAATTAATAAAATATAAAATGTTATTTTTAAATAGGCCCCCTGCAACTCTGAGAAGGATCTTTAGAATGCTTTCTTAATTTTTTTTGTATATTTGGGTCTCCCGTGGTAGATGGAGGTCTAAGTATATTTTAACCCCTTGCTGGTCTGTTAAAAACCCTCAGTATTAACATTTCTCACTAGAGTCAGGTCTCTCTCTCTCACACACATACACTTGTGCACGCATACACCCACACACAGAATGCAGCTCTAGGTGAGGATGTGAGAAGTCTGTAAAGAGGCTCTGCATCCCTTGTGTACTCAGAGCACAACTCTGTGTGTATCTTCCTGTGCATAGGGGATACTGTAAGCTAGGCCATGGGAGGAACAGAATCAGTGAATTTGTGAGTACATGGGTTCACTAGTCATTATTCCACACAGTGGTTCTGCAGCCTTAAAGTTACAAATATAGCAACTGAGTGGCTCTACTGCTGCATCACAGCCTACTTGATGGATTCTGACACCAGTGGAACTCCTTGTAGTCATCCAGTTACTTATGGATGTGCTTGTGTTATGTATTGAGAAGAGGATTTGGCCCTTGCTGAATTACTTCAGAAAATCCCAACTGCTGTTCTCAGTTACAAATTACATGCTAATTAAAACTCATTATTTTATGTCACATTCTCTTAATATTTGAGAAGTAAAACTTTACGCATTGCCATCAGCACAGGGTGCAAAAATTGAGTCACTGATAGTTAAAATATTGACTGACTTCAGAAATATAAAAAAAAACCCATGATGTCCTAAGCTGTGGTATTAAAATGTATTGTTTGCCTTTTTTATGTATTTCAAGTTTACTACACCGATTAAAAGGAAAGTGTCTGAAGCATCAGTGATTGTCCCAGGTACCGGTGGATTGCCTCTGAGGAGCCCATTGGTATTTGTCAATACGTGTAAGTTGATATTTATGTTTAATGTTAAAAATAAGTTTAAAATAGTTTTTGTACTTTACTTGTAATTTAAACTAATTTCTTTACCTGAGGCATTATGTACTGGTATTTAACACTTCCTATAGAAAAACTTGCATTATGTTACCACAATCAGGCATGAACTATGATATGTTTGTGGAGATGGAAACAAGGCTAAAATGTTATTCATGGGATCTCCCCAGCAAATGCATAGTCCTTAAATTTCTATGCCATACTACTCAAAGCCCTGAAGAGATTCTGAAGTGAAAATTGTAAGGAACTCTTCCACCTTCATTGGCATATTAAGTATCATTTTCAGGAAACTCAAATATAAATAAGTGGCATTTCATAAATAATATTGGGCAGCATTCTCAGGAATCACAGTGTTTACAATATCTACAGCAATCACAGTGAAACTTCTGTTCTTCCCCATTTGTACACCAATCAACCAAACTTTACTCTTGTCTTCTTGACAAGGCACATGACCAGCTTTGTGAGAGTCATTCAGTAGCACCTTTTCCCTCGCACTTTTTGTTTGTCTCTTCAAGAACAATCTGACTATCTTGCTGACTGAGGAGGTGCGGGAGAACTGCAGGTCTGGGCAGAGGAAACCAGGTCTAGAACTGCTTACATTCTCTTCAGAAGAGAATCGCTGATAGAGGAGGAAGTGCAGGAGAACCTTTCCCCAGTCACTCCTGGCTCACCACCATCATCTTCTCACTGGCAAACCCACTTTAGCAGGCTCCCATCACTTGCTCCTTTCCCTCTACACAGAAGCTGCTTAGGAGAAAGGACAGTAAGAGCTCAAATGTGACAGGAGAGGGTTAGGGACAGGAGAGGGTGACAGGAGAAATGAGAGGAGAGGGTGATTGAGGAACATTCATTGATGTAGCTTTCTCACAAAATCCCCTCAAATGCACAGTATCCTCATACTATGTATAACATACAAAGCTAAGTTTTAAAAGCATAATAAAGTTGCAAAGCCAAGCATTCTAAAGTTAGGAAATGCCAGAATTAAGGTTGCCTATGCTACCTTTAGTTGACTTCTCTGTGCATATGCATTATGATAAAGACTTTAATTTCATGATCACATACTCTTTTTCACAGGACTCATGCCTCTTTCAGTACACAGAATCCCTATCTTCTTATCCAGTAGTGTAGCTTCTGTAATTTCACTGGCATAATTTTTGATTTTCACTTGTGTGATATCAGAATAGGTTAAAATTGTTTAAAACTTTATTAAATGAATGTAGTGATGAGAAACAGCCTTTAAATGTTGTGATGCCATTGGGAAAAAGTAAAGTTAAAAAGTCTTTGGTTTGTTTTCAGCAACTCCCCGCAAGGCCCGCTTTAAACTGCCTTTGCAAATGATGAGCTCTTCTGAAAAAAATAACATTAACAGAATAACTGAGAGTGGAACAAAGAATTTGGATCTAGAGCATACTGGACCACATATATCTTCTATAGCTGACTCTCTTAAAAGGCGTAATGTTGCTGCAGAAAAAGTAATTAACATATTTATACTATCTGTTCTTCCTAATTCATACTTTAGCAAGCTTGTGTTTGTGATCTCATTGTGTTTGTAATCAATACTTCACTTTTTAGAAAAGAATAATCCATTTTCATCTTTTATTTTCTTCATAATACTTACTGATCTCATCAGGTTTTGTGCTGATACAAAAGTGGTCTTACAGATCTCTATTTTTTTCCCCTCTAAATCCTTTTTTTTTCTAAATCCTGCCTTATTTCAGATTCAAGCTTTCAGCTGGATAAAACTGAACAGGACTCCTACTGGCAAACAAGGATACCTATAAAATTGTATTTGCAATTATATCTGTATTGGTCCCTGGATATTAGAGAGACAAGATGCGTGAGGGAATACCTCACCCACCTTCCATCTGTAAAATTATTCTAAGATCTGCATTTTATCCCTCAAGGCTGACCATACCTACTCTCACCCTCTGGCAAACTTGCTTATTCCTTTCCCATCCTCATACACAATCTGTCAATTTTTTATCCATTGGAATCTCCAGTTCACTCAGCATAATAGTCCCTATATGCTATAGTGTTCAAGGGTTAATGAGCTTTTTTTGACTAATAGGATAGTTCTACGTTACTGACATTTAATACAGAAAACATTTACATGCATTAATTTTTAAATTGCAAAACAGACTTTTTTTGAAGTGATCACATTTTTACTGCAAAGTTTCAAGGACAATGCGAATCTAAAGAAATGGAGAAGATAAAGGTGTGGCCTATTTATAACCAGCCTCTACCTCTGCAGTGCTATCAAAACACAACAACCAAAGATTTTTAGTGCCAAATTTTTAGACAGTTTAATTGTCCGATTGTGTTTCTACTTTGTGAACACAATTACTACAGATGTTTGGGGAAATCAGATAGTTGCATGATCAAATGGATTAGGCTTGTTTCTATACACAATCCCTGAGTTTGAATGAGCATATTTTGTGCATGTAATTTAATTGTGCACCTAATTCTCTGGAAAACCATCTCTTGAACTGCTCAACTTTATTAAAATTCCATTGTCATTATGAAATATGTTAAGGAACAAACAATACCATCATCTACATCTGTGAAATGCCATTGTGTCCAAATTATGGTATTACTGACATTTCTGCAAACTGATGGCCTGACCCAAAGCCCGTTGAAGTCAATGGAAGTACTCCTGTTTACTTCATTGTGCTTCAGATCAGACCCTCAGACTAAAGGTTAATGGGGTTGCGCAGATGTCACTTGAGTATTTAACCTGAAGACACTGGTTTTGCACTGGTGTAGCTGAGGAAGAATCTCTCTTACTGGTGTGAGATGAAAAGATCTCAGTTTGACTGTCAGAACCATGTTGAGTTTGTAGGGTTTGGAGGTGGAAAAACATCTTTTTACTTCAATTTGAACAAATGTCATTAGAAATTACTGAGACACAATGAATATGTAAAAATGATATTTTGGGATTCCAAAACAATTTTTCAGGGTAGAACCACACTGTCTGAAAAACATTTTGTAAGAATCACAAAAATCGTTTTCCAAAATTTATTCTTTAATAGTAAAATTACTTCCTTACTTAACATTACTGACTTTTGCTTTTTAGGGTAGAGATGGCTCTGTACTGGACAATGTATTTTGCGAGACTCAGCAGAATACCAGCAAAACAAGAATCAGAAATGAGGCAAAACTATCTGAAAAGGTTTTGGGAGCCATTATTTTCTAACATTAAAAAAAACTTCTATTCTAAATGTATTTTTGTATGTAACAATGTATATCTCCACTCCAATATATTTTTTGTAATTTTTCAGCAGCATATGTCAGCTGAAAAAGTTTTGGAAATGATGCAAAATGAGGCAGACAGTGAGACCAGCCAAAAAGAAACACTACGTGAGCACTTTTGCAAATTTTGACAATACTCTTTTAAAATCATTCTGTTTTCATATTTTTACAAAAGAAACTGAGAAAATTTAATGTTTAATATCAAATTTAATATGTTTCATTTAGATGAACTATTAGATATTGTTCCTGATTCTCAGCCAGTAGGCAGAAATGACAAACCTTTGTAAGTATTAGAAAACCACCCTAAATAACTGTTGGTTTTATCTTAAAAAAAAAAAAAAACTTTTGAAAGCTGTATGTGCAAGTATTGCCAAAGACAGTGCTTCTGAGATTTTGATAATGATCTCCAGAGATCTCTTTCAGCTCTGCATTTCCATGATATTAATTGTAATTAACCAGCAGTGTTTTTATTTGTAAACCTGTTACATTTAGCAATAATGACCAAATTTCTGCAATTTAGTGTAAATAAAATAAGATTATTTTTGTAGATTGCCTGGTCTTTTGGAAAGTTCTGCTGATAAAAATAAAATCTGGAAAAAACAGGCATGCTCTGTACCTGAGAAGCTTATAACGAAGTGTGACAAGCAGAAGAGAAGTACATCATCAGGACATACATTCCAAAAAGGTTAAGTTTATGCCCTGTTACTAATAAGTATTTGTGAATGGAAAATTATATTTTTTATGTTCAAACTTTTTAATAAATTTTTATCTTAAAAAGATTTTATTTTCTTGTTTGCATTAGTTCCTGTTCTCAGTGAAAGAGCTGCCAAACAAAAAGCTTTCTATTCAATATTTGAAAGTACTTCTCCAAAACAACAAGCTCAGAGTAGAAAAATATCAAAGAAGCAACAAAAGGAAACCAAAAAACCAGAAGAAAACTGTGTAAGACACAGAGGACAAACGCTAAACAGTTCTAAGCATTTAGAACAGAAAATACTAAGTACAGAGGCAAAAGAAGTTCCCAGCACACCTGAAACATCTTTTAAATCAGTTTATCCAAGTAAAATGACTGAGAAATCTCTGGGATCTTCAACAAAATTAGTGTTGACCAGAAATTCCATGGAGGAAGTTGATGTTTCTTTTAGAAAAGGGACTACAAATCATAAAAAATCTGAGAAGGTGATAGATTTTCATCTTGGTTTCTCTGACTTAGCAGTAAAGGGAATGGTGTAGTTTCAGTGTTCTTTCCACCATATTTTCAATATTTCAGTATAGCCTCAATAGCATATTTTTGATTCTGCTTATTTCTAAATTTGTTTATCATTTAGTTTACACTAATGCAGAAGAATAAGGGGTCCACCATATTTTCAAATGTAACTCATTTTTATATATGTTTTGTGCTGAAAATTTAAAATATTTATCTATTTTAATTTCAGGAGGTTCCTTTTGTTTAAAAATATGAACCAGTCCTTTGTTCTGGTGGCACTTGTGACTGTTACAATTTAAATCAAGATCCCTGATGAAATATCCCAATGCAAGCCCAACCGTATTTAAATATTGGGTCAGAGACAGGATTTTAAACTGTCCATTAAATGGAGCTGGTTTACTGATAAAAATGTCCAGATTGTTGCCACTTGCATCGAAAGCTGTGGTAATTTTGTGGGGAAATTTCTGTGAAGGCTTCCTTACATTGTTCAAGTAGAGGGGTGTGATTTTCTTCCTGTGGAAAAGCTGCCCTCAAGCCTGGTGATCCTGAGGGATCCATGGGTGTTGAGTGCCAACTACATGGAGTCTTTGTACCCAAACTGCCGCTCTACCCTTTTATTGTACAAAGTTTACTGTCAGAGTTAACAGGTTATTTACAAAGTCTGTTGTTACAGAAAGCAAAATCTAAAGAAATGGCTGAAACAATAGAATCAATAATAAGTAAAATCAGTGACAGATATAAACAAAAGGATGATATCGAACATACAAGAAAAGCAGGAGAATTTTTAGCTAATAACAGGTATGGTATAAATTGTTTTCTTATAATAGTTTGAACAGCTTGATTGTGACTTACTTCCTTGTGCACTTGCAAAGAAGAAAGAGCACATAAAGCCCCTATGCAGCCTAGTTTGGTTTATCCAGATCATAAATCTGTGTGAGAAGGTGGAGGACAAGCTCAGCTAAGCCCAGTTTGTGAGTAAGGATTTTGAAGCAAGCCTCCCAGCCCAGGCTGATAGACTTGGGCTCGCTGTAGGGCTCTAAAAATAGCTGTATAGACAGAGCACGAGCTACAACTTTAAAGTGCTGCCTGTACTACTATTTTTAGAGCACTAGCAGAGGAACTGTGATGCTCAAAGTTCCTTTAAAGGCTACAATAATTTGGTTGTATGTAAACTTAATCACATAAAGGTGTGATCTTTAGTGATGCTTAACACCTGCGTCTTCGATTGATTGGTGGGAGCAGTTGTTTCTCAGCACCTTTGAGAATCAGGTCATCAATCACAATTTAAATAATTTTTATATTTCTCTAATTGTGAACAAATGCATCAATATATGTTGTAAAATTGGTTATGAAAATTATTTTGAAAAACGAAAACAGTAACACAAAATAACTTGAGTTTATGTTTGCAGCGTAACTCGTGATATTTGGCAGTTACGGGTTTGTAACTTAGTTCACTCTAACTACTATTTGTTTGCAGGCAGTTCCTGCCCAGCTCTCCCTGGAATTGGTTCTCTTCTGTTATGCAGAAATGGAGAATGCTAGGAGCTCCAACAATAGTGGAAGGAATTTTGGGGGTTGGGATGTATAGTGACTACACAGATTTTCAGTACTACCTATCCCAGTATGTTAGGGGTGCAGATGTTGCTGCCTGGGGATGAAGGATTCTGGGACAGTTTTTTTGCCAGTTTAAATGGATGTAGCTCCCTGCTACTGTATCAGCTTACACTGGCAGAGAATTGGGCCCTTTGTTTCTAGTGCAGCAAACCTACACAAAGAACAGCGACTTAGGGTAAAAATTTTAAAAGAACCTAACACACTGAAATCAATGGGAGTCTGGCACCTAGCTGTGTCTGAAAATCCCTCTAGGCCCCTATGTATATCTAGGCACTTAAATACCTTTAAAAATCTGACACTTAAGCACCATGGAAATTTTACTTTTAGGCTCCTAAATCGCTTAGTTTAAAAATTTATTCCAAAGTATTGAGAGTCAATAGGACTTTGACCCTTATGGTCTAATTCACTTTTGAAAATGAGACTGAGGCTTAAGTCACTTAGGCTCTTTTTATAATTTTACCTTTTGAGCTTTGTGCAGTAATGAGAATTTGGGCCTATTGGGAAAAAAAATGAAGTTGTCTGGATTTGGCTTATAATTGTGCAGTTTTTTTGTAGACTAAGTTCTAAGTTACTAGAATTTTAAGACCTATTTTTACTATATAAAGTCATATGTTATCTTAGAATCTGTTATTGAAGAACTCTGTGATACATTATACAAGCAAATATTTTCTTATCTTGTTAAGGTTTTCATTTATATTAGTAATATATTGAACACATTTTTGGTATGCATTTGATGGTGTTTGATACAAAATTTTTAGGTCACGTTTAAATAAGTCTGGTTTCAAAGTCAATAAGGTACGTTTACTGTTTTTTGGTTTTTTTAACATAGAAAATTGATATAATCAAATTACTGGTTGTAATTTTTTCCTTAGTGTGCTTTGATCTACCTTGTTTTGAAAAGGGGGTGATCAAAGCTCACTAAGGAATGATTAGTGTGACTAGTAGGGTCTTCATGGACAGTTAGTATGCAGCAGGCTTGTGCGGGGTAGATTCATACCCTTCTCGACATGAACTAAATGTTCATGTAGACAAGCCCTTACCATATAGCATATAACGGGATCATTTAATTTATGAGTGAAGTTCATTGTTCCATGATATGCATAGCAACATTATATAGCAGTTTAAAAGATACAGTTAAGAATACTTCATCCAGATCTAAATATATGAGAATAGGTAGGAACACACATTGCTCAAATGGAATTTGAGCATGGTACAGAAACCAACACTGTTATTTTTGGAATAAGTACCATGAGATTTTTAAGGGCCACAGATGATGAGGACTTGTATTTTACATCTCAAAATATTTCTCTTCCAGCAGCCCCTGACCCCTAATACCATATTTGAATATTGTAAGTTAAGTGAGGTTTAGATTCAAAAGCAACTAATTTATCACCCATGCTTCTGTTAAAGAACTTGCTGATGTATTGATGACTATAGATGACCATGTTTTGAACATTAGACCTGTGTAACTCTTCTTGTGAATATGTAGGGAAAAGTTCAGAATAGAAGCTGTAGAAACGTAAAAACTACAGCTGTGCTTAATATGACTACAGGACATATTGTGTAAGTATCTAGTAATTTTGTTTTAAAATGTTTTAATTATCCAATTATGTTAAGAATATTCCTTGATTCAAGAACTAAAACTTTATTTGTATCTGTTTTGACAGGGATGATGTCTACAATTTTAACTTAAGTGGATTTGATGAACCTACGATAAAGCTTGGAGTAAGATTCCAGCAGTCTACATTAATGTAAACTGGGAACCTTTTAGTTCGTGCCCACAGCATCCACATACAGGAGTTACAGCATAGCACAGTGGTGTGCACTGCTGTTCACATCCTTGTAGTCCGAATTGTAGGGCAATATAAACAAGTCCTGAGAAAGACTCAACCCAAAATACCTAACAGCACAGTGGTTAGGGCACTCACATAGAAGGTGGAAGATATGGGTTCACGCCTTTGCTGCACATTAGGCAAATGTAGGAAATTGAATCTAGGTCTTCCACATCCCGGGTGAATGCTTTTTAAACAATGGGCTGAAAGTTATAAGGGGGAGCACCACCTCCTCCTCTCTATATATTTTATGGGTTTAGACATGCTCTAAGCCTTTTGAAAGGGAGAAGAGTGGAAATTCATGGAAACTAGTTCTCAGTTCCATGAAATCTGGCAGATCCATCCTCTAGCTTTTCCACTCTGCTACCAGCTCTGTCTTTAGCATAAACTATGATGTAGTAGCATACAAGCCACACATCTGAAACTTTTCTAAGTACAAATTGGAGAATATGGGCCAATTTATAACTCTTAAGAAAAAGCTTAAAATATGCATCTAAAAAGAGTAACATTATTTATGTGAAATCTGGGAAGTTTGTACTAAAATATTCAAAGAAAAGATGTGAAATATTCTCTAATGTGTAAAGTGATCATTGTAAATTATTGCAAACAAGAAATTTTGGCGTAAAAAAGGCTTAGTGTTACTCTTTGCATGAATAACTAATATATTTTATATATATCATGAAGATACATTTGCAATTATTTTTAATTTATTTGTACTTACATTTTAGGTCCAAGAATTACATGTTACCAACTTGAAAGCTACTACAAATCTCACAGAAAAAATGTAAGAATGTTACATTGTATTATACTAATGTAAAAAAAACATTTTTTTTCTTAAGGATGGTAATAATGAATAGTTTTGTTTGCATTCTCCAACATCCCCCTATGCCAATCAAGATAGCAGGTGCAAGTCCTTCTAAAGATATAAACAGGAAGAAAACACTCTTGTTGTCTCACTTTCCCTGTAAAGTGGGCTGGCGTAACTTCATCATTTATTTTCCTTTCTTCAGCAGGTAAAGGCAGCTCCAATGGCTTCCTCAGCTGCATTTCGTTGTTGTTTTTTGTTTGTTTGATTGTTTTACTGTTTTCCTTTTGGCAAATTTCTTCCTAATCCTTTCATTTTCATCAGATTACTAGTTTAGTGTTTGAAAGTGAACTGTGGTTTCCAAACTTGCCAAAAAGAGATCAAGTGCATGTGCCTCATAATTCCCCTCCCACACACTCACATACATACCAATAGCCGAAAGATGACAATAACCCCAGCAGATGTCTTCCGCTTTGGATGTATTTATTAATGTAAATATCTCTTTGTTTAAGGAATCCTGATGAAAGCAAAAGTATCCTCCAGAAAAAAGTAGATAATAAAGTAAGTTTCTTAAATTCAGGGAAACTGATATGAAAAAGACCAAAATTTCAATATGGAAAATAACCATTTTTTCCCCTTAAAATGATACAAAGAATTATAAAAAACTCTAAGCCATCTTTCCACTCACATGGTCCTTTATTTGAATGGAGGTGGAACTGCCCCTTGACGTAACTTAAAGCAGCCTGAAGTTACTGAATTTAATACTGTGAAAACTTTTGTAAGGATAGGCCTTTAGACTTGGGTTTTGTAGCTCAAATGCTTCTTATCTCTAGAAATCCCACATACTTTCAGGTAAAAACTGTATTATAAATCGAAACAAAAATAAATGACCTGTAAGCATTTTTGTTTGTTTGTTTGTTTTTTGTAGAATAAAACTAATAAAAACATGAAGCATCTCTTTAGTGACACTGACACAGAATGCAGAGGTGATGACAGCAAGACAGATATCAGTTGGCTACGAGAGTCTAACAGAAAACCTAAACCCCAACTAGTAGACTACAGCAGAACTAAAAATCTGAAGAAATCTAAAAGTATAGAAGCAAGTAAGAAACTAATTGTTGAACATTTAGGGACTGTGTTTCACTTGCCTGTAAATAGTTTTTAAATTATTTAATTATATTTGCCATGCATAATGTATGTTGTGTGCAGTGTGTCACAGTTCATGGTAACTGTCCCTTGAGGGCAGCCACTCTAGGCTCCCAGCTCCTCAGCCGCCGCCTCTCCTCGGCAGAGACCAACAGTTTCTCCTTCCTGACCAAGGGATCTTTAAAGACTGCACATTCCCTGCCTTCGCTATATTCCCAGCAGTCCAGACTGCCTAAAAGACCACCGTCTGCACTATGCTTTCTCTTCACAGTCTCTGCCCAGTGTATTGCCCGTAGTTATAAGTTACCACACAGCTCTTTATAAGCAAGCACATTCGTTCATCAGGTGAAAGCATTGCAGAAAAAACATACTAAAAACAATAAAAGAAATATACACATGCTCAAAAGTTTACTAGAGGTTACCCAACTCCAACATGGGGTTCTGGTAGGTGCCAGTCCTTAGAATCCACAACTGGGTTTTCCTGAGGTTACAAATACATAATTTGTCTCAGATTCAGAACCAGAACAATCATGAATAGTTCAGTCATTCCTTTGTACAGCTTGGGCTTTTGATGTTGGCCTTATGTAAAGGGATCAGCAGACAATGGCTCTCTCCTCAGGGTGTAGCTTCTAAAGGCTGTGTTTTTGCATAACTGGAAGTGGATAATTTGCATTCACCTCCCCTTAGATATCCTCCAAGAAAACCACTTAATATTTTTTGTTCAAGAAGTCCATTCTTGTAGGGTACCTTGTTTCAAATAATCCTTTGAACCCGCAGGTCTCACATAGAATAGAATCATAGAATATCAGGGTTGGAAGGGACCTCAGGAGGTCATCTAGTCCAACCCCCTGCTCAAAGCAGGACCAACCCCCAACTAAATTATCCCAGCCAGGGCTTTGTCAAGCCTGACCTTAAAAACTTCTAAGGAAGGAGATTCCACCACCTCCCTAGGTAACCCATTCCAGTGTTTCACCACCCTCCTAGTGAAAAAGTTTTTCCTAATATCCAACCTAAACCTCCCCCACTGCAACTTGAAACCATTACTCCTTGTTCTGTCATCCGCTACCACTGAGACCAGTCTAGATCCATCCTCTTTGGAACCCCCTTTCAGGCAGTTGAAAGCAGCTATCAAATCCCCCCTCATTCTTCTCTTCCGCAGACTAAACAATCCCAGTTCCCTCAGCCTTTCCTCATAAGTCATGTGTTCCAGTCCCCTAATCATTTTTGTTGCCCTCTGCTGGACGTTTTCCAATTTTTCCACATCCTTCTTGTAGTGTGGGGCCCAAAACTGGACACAGTACTCCAGATGAGGCCTCACTAATGTTGAATAGAGGGGATCGATCACGTCCCTCCATCTGCTGGCAATGCCCCTACTTATACATCCCAAAATGCTATTGGCCTTCTTGGCAACAAGGGCACAATGTTGACTCATATCCAGCTTCTCATCCACTATAACCGTTAGGTCCTTTTCTGCAGAACTGCTGCCTAGCCTTTCAGTCCCTAGTCTGTAGCGGTGCATGGGATTCTTCCGTCCTAAGTGCAGGACTCTGCACTTGTCCTTGTTGAACCTCATCAGATTTCTTTTGCCCAATCCTCTAATTTGTCTAGGGCCCTCTGTATCCTATCCGTACCCTCCAGCGTATCTACCTCTCCTCCCAGTTTAGTGTCATCTGCAAACTTGCTGAGGGTGCAATCCACACCATCCTCCAGATCATTAATGAAGATATTGAACAAAACCGGCCCGAGGACCGACCCTTGGGGCACTCCACTTGATACCGGCTGCCAACTAGACATGGAGCCATTGATCATTACCCGTTGAGCCTGACAATCTAGCCAGCTTTCTATCCATCTTGTCCATTCATCCAGCCCATACTTCTTTAACTTGCTGGCAAGAATACTGTGGGAGACCGTGTCAAAAGCTTTGCTAAAGTCCAGGAACAACACGTCCACTACTTTCCCCTCATCCACAGAGCTAGTTATCTTGTCATAGAAGGCAATTAGATTAGTCAGGCATGACTTGCCCTTGATGAATCCAAGCTACCTGTTCTTGATCACTTTCCTCTCCTCTAAGTGCTTCAGAATTGATTCCTTGAGGACCTGCTCCATGATTTTTCCAGGGACTGAGGTGAGGCTGACTGGCCTGTAGTTCCCAGGATCCTCCTCCTTTCTTTTTTTAAAGATGGGCACTACATTAGCCTTTTTCCAGTCGTCCGGGACCTCCCCCGATCGCCATGAGTTTTCAAAGATAATGGCCCATGGCTCTGCAATCACATCTGCCAACTCCTTTAGCACTCTCGGATGCAGCGCATCCGGCCCCATGGACTGGTACTCATCCAGCTTTTCTAAATAGTCCCAAACCACTTCTTTCTTCAGAGAGGGCTAGTCACCTCCTCCGCATGCTGTGCTGCCCAGTGCAGCAGTCTGAGAGCTGACCTTGTTCGTGAAGACAGATGTAAAAAAAGCATTGAGTACATTAGCTTTTTCCACATCCTCTGTCACTAGGTTGCCTCCCTCGTTCAGTAAGGGGCCCACACTTCCCTTGACTTTCTTCTTGTTGCTAATATACCTGAAGAAACCCTTCTTGTTACTCTTAACATCTCTTGCTAGCTGCACCTCCAGGTGTGATTTGGCCTTCCTGATTTCACTTCTGCATGCCTGAGCAATATTTTTATATTCTTCCCTGGTCCAATCTTTCACTTCTTGTAAGCTTCTTTTTTGTGTTTAAGATCAGCAAGGATTTCACTGTTAAGCCAAGCTGGTCACCTGCCATATTTACTATTCTTTCTAGACGTCAGGATGGTTTGTCCCTGTAACCTCATCAGGGATTCTTTAAAATACACCCAGCTCTCCTGGACTCCTTTCCCCCTCATGTTATTCTCCCTGCCCATCAGTTCCCTGAGGTTGTCAAAGTCTGCTTTTCTGAAGTCCAGGGTCCGTGTTCTGCTGCTCTCCTTTCTTCCCTGTGTCAGGATCCTGAACTCGACCATCTCATGGTCACTGCCTCCCAGGTTCCCATCCACTTTTGCTTCCCCTACTAATTCTTCCTGGTTTGTGAGCAGCAGGTCAAGAAGAGCTCTGCCCCTAATTGGTTCCTCCAGCACTTGCACCAGGAAATTGTCCCCTACATTTTCCAAAAACTTCCTGGATTATCTGTGCACCGCTGTATTGCTCTCCCAGCAGATATCAGGGTGACTGAAGTCTCCCATGAGAACCAGGGCCTGCGATCTAGTAACTTCCGTTAGTTGCCGGAATAAAGCCTTGTCCACCTCATCCCCCTGATCTGGTTGTCTATAGCAGACTCCCACCATGACATCACCCTTGTTGCTCACACTTCTAAACTTAATCCAGAGACACTCAGGTTTTTCTGCAGTTTCATACCGGAGCTCTGAGCAGTCATACCGCTCTCTTACAGACAATGCAACTCCCCCACCTTTTCTGCCCTGCCTGTCCTTCCTGAACAGTTTATATACATCCATGACGGTACTCCAGTCACGTGAGTTATCCCACCAAGTCTCTGTTATTCCAATCACATCATAATTCCTTGACTGTGCCAGGACTTCCAGTTCTCCCTGCTTGTTTCCCAGGCTTTTTGCATTTGTGTATAGATACTTGAGATAACTCGCTGTTTGTCCTGCTTTCTTAGTATGAGGCAGGAGCCCTCCCCTTTTGCGTTCTCCTGCTCGTGCTTCCTCCCAGTATCCCACGTCCCCACTTACCTCAGGGCTTTGGTCTCCTTCCCCTGATAAACCTAGTTTAAAGCCCTCCTCACTAGGTTAGCCAGCCTACTTCCGAAGATGCTCTTCCCTCTCTTCATTAGGTGGAGCCCGTCTCTGCCTAGCATTCCTCCTTCTTGGAACACCATCCCATGATTAAGGAATCCAAAGCCTTCTCTCCAACACCACCTGCGTAGCCATTCGTTGACTTCCACGATTCGACAGTCTCTACCCAGGCCTTTTCCTTCTACGGGGAGGATGGACGAAAACACCACTTGCGCCTCAAACTCCTTTATCCTTTTTTCCCAGAGCCACGTAGTCCGCAGTGATCCACTCAGGGTCATTTTTGGCAGTATCATTGGTGCGCACGTGGAGAAGCAGGAAGGGGTAGCAATCCGAGGGCTTGATGAGTCTTGGCAGTCTCTCCGTCTCATCATGAATCCTAGCTCCTGGCAAGTAGCAGACTTCTCGGTTTTCCCGGTCAGGGCGGCAGATAGATGACTCAGTCCCCCTGAGGAGAGAGTCCCCGACCACCACCACCTGCTGCCTCCTCTTTGGAGCGGTGGTCATGGAACCCCCATCCCTATGACAGTGCATCTCATGCCTTCCAATCAGCGGAGTCTCCTTCTGTTCCCTTCCCCCAGATGTATCATCTAGTCCACTCTCCACATTAGTACCTGTGGAGAGAACATGAAAATGGTTGCTTACCTGTATCTGCGCTGCTGGTACATGGACTCTCCCCTTTCTTCTTCTGGAGGTCACATGCTGCCAAATTTCTTCACCGTCCTCCTGTCCCCACTGTGCGGCCTGCTCTTAATCTTCAGAACATTGTGCCCGTAGAAGCATATCCTGACATCTGTCCAGGAAATCTTCACATCTGTCCTCTCTCCCCACTTGAGAGGTTACATATAGTTCTAGCCCACAATTATACATGAAATACAATAGACTTCAAAGATATTTAAATTTAATTAAATACGATCTCCTGAAGATATGGCAGGAAATTACCATATCTGTCACACAATGTACAGTATGTTTTTGTTCTGCTACCTTCCATAACCTATGGACTTTGAAATGTGCTTATCCTCAGTATTTGTGAAGGTGAATTTTGTAAAAAAGTGTTTATTTAGGACAAAAAGAATTCTTTTTAACAAAACTACTACTGTCCAAATAGTAATCTGAAGGCAGTTTAATGCATTGATAAAGATCTGGAAAAGCTGAAGTCCAGGAACAACAAGTCCACTGCTTTCCCCTCCATTGCTTTTCCCACAGAGCTAGTTATCTTGTCATACCTTGTACTGACAATTAAAATTGTAGATGGTCAACGTTTTTTGGATATTAAGCTAGTTTTCTAAATGTTATTGATTTTAACAGCAGATACTTTCCCTGACCCTGCATGTCTGATGGATATATCTGAAGGGAAAAAAACAAAAAATAAAAAGGTAAAGTAAAATTGCAACTTAATTTTAATCGCTATTTTTAATCTATTTTAACTGACCATAGGATTTTTTTTAAATATTTGTATTAATGCACTGTTAACTTTCAACAGAATCCTTTCAAATTCACAGCCACTAAAAATGATTCTGACTGCTCTAATAATACAACAGAGCCAGTTACAATTCCTATTCCCTAATAATACTAGCTGAGAGTTGGAATGATTATGGCATTTTGATGCTTGCGTTTTGTTTTCTAAGATGATGTATAATTTTTTTCGCAATAACTAGTTACTGGTTAATGGCAAGACAAACCATTTTATTCAAATGATTCACTTTTTCAGTGATTGGTTTAGTTAAGATTTACTGCATTATTTATAATACCTCTGAATTGTTTGTAAGATTATTTAGAAAAATGATAAACCTAACTAAGTATAAAAGCTATAAACTGGAAAAGTCACACTTGAAGTTACATTTATAAAGAGTTTATAATCATTAATAAATTATTACAAGATGTTATAAATATGTTAGACATGAGTATAGATGGTTATAACCATATTAGTGGACAACATATAGATGTTTATAAGCCATGGTTCAAAGCAATCTATTGACCTGCTAGACTTTATAACAATTGATTAAACTGGTTATTAAAACCTCTATTAATTATTAAGCCTTCATAAACTATTTATAAGCATACACTGAATATAAAGTGTGACAAATAAAAATAATGTGATAGCTCTGTGTGTGCATTTAATAATACAAAATTAAATGGAGGGTTTGTATTTTTATGGCTATTTTATGTCAGTCATAAGCTTCAGTCCTTTTGATATAGATCAGGACAGGAGTATCAGGCCTATAGAAACTATATCCCATATCATAACTGAGGAGGAGGATGGAGGAAACATTCACTCTACCCCCATCCTGAAGTCTTCTCTTGCTTTTCTAGGCTCTTCTTTTTACTCATGACACCTAGCAGAAGATCATTAACCTTCAGTTATCACAACTTACATTTTCCTCTGTTCCATTTACAAGTCCATGGAACTTCTAGGTTGTCCAGTTCAATAAGTATATTTTGATCCTTTTCTACCCCGGAGAATGGGGAAGAGGAAACCTTTTCAATGAGTAATTATCCTTTAGCTTGTCAACCTTTCAGGTTTTGTCTTGGCCAGTGCTAAACTACCATTAAAGATTACTTGCTAAATTCATCTCTAATATGAGTCTACTGAAGTCATTGGAGCTACATCAGCAGTATTATTGGCTCTATGTTCTATAGAATGAACATGTAAAATTCTAAGGCTAATATGTGCTTCCTTTTTCCAAAGTACTGTAGCTAGTTCCTGGTACATACACCATGGTGCAGTGCAATTTGTTCTTTTACATAGTTCTTGTCATTAGAATCTTCAACTTACATCAACATTATTTCTTCCAAAGCTACCTGTTAGTAAAAAACAAAATGCAAAGGCTGATGAAAGAATAAAACCGACAACCAGACCAAAATGGCCTCGAAGAGCAGCATTAGCAAAAAAAAGTTATAAGGATTACTCAAATTCAGAGTCCGAGAGTGAACAGGAATCGTCACAGTGCTTATGTAAGAAAGAAAAATTAAGAGTACAGGTAAACTGTATTATTGATCTTCTGCAGCATCTTTATGAAACTAGGGCCCTAATTTTCAAAAGTGGCCACTGATTTTAGGTGCCTCAAATTTTGATTGCCCAAGTTGGAGAACCTGGGCGGCGGGTGTAATAGGCACTTCTGCCGACCCACTGCCGGACACCTGGGCCATGGTGAACCTGGCCCTTCCATGAGACCTCCAACTGCCTCCTCCACTCCACCCACTTCCCAGGTCCTCACTGCTTGCCGCATTCCTCCTCCTCTGGACAGGGGAGGGAGGAGGGATGTGGAGAGCCGGCAGACTAAAGAGGCTGGGGCTGGCAGCGTGGCAGGGGGTGGGGCCTTCAGGGGCCCAAGGAGCTGGCACTAGGGTGATGGCAGTTCGGCCTGGCCCAACTCTGGTGGGGAGGACGGCGGCCCGGCAGGCACTTGGAGGCCAGGGAGACGGCGACTCGACCTGGTGCTCTGGGAGGCCAGTGTGTCTACCTAGTGCTGGGGGAAGCCGGCTGCTCAGCCCAGTGTTGGGGCCAGCCTGACTCTGGCGGGTGGGGAGGTGTCAGCAGCTGGGGGGAGGGGCAGCGGCTCAACGTGGCACTTGGGCGGGGTAGAGGGGCCATGGCTGCAGCTCAGCCCGAGGTGGGTGGGCCAGGGTTCCCCCAGTCGCAGAGGTTCCTCAGAGTCAGAGCTTCTCCTTTTATGGGGTGGGAGGGGGGTTTCAGGGCTCTGGCATGCAGGGAGCGGGGCCTTGGGTACAAGGGGTGGGGCCAACGAGCTAGCTTCCCGAAAGCAGGGGTTCACCCGCCGCCCATGCTTGAGCTTGATTTTCTGAAGCACCTGTACTTTCCATTGACTTCAACTGGAATTGTGTGTGCTCAGACCCTGTGGAAATTATTCCCTATTTCTTTTTTTCCTACTCTAAAGTAGTACATAGATTTATATAAAGAGAACCTTCTATGCTCCAAAAACATGTTTTAGTGTTTTTTTTTTCTTTTAAAAGCACCTAAGCTTTAAAAGCACCGAAGTCCCTGAGTAGGCTCTTTTAAATGACTTAGACACTTTTGAAATTTTAACATTAGTCTCTTTAAAACAGAAAATATGTTGACCTCATAAAAGAGGTAGGGCTGTCGATTAATCACAGTTAACTCATGCGATTAACTTAAAAAAAAAATTCACGATTAATCGCAGTTTTAATTGCCCTGTTAAACAATAGAATACCAAATGAAATTTATTAAATATTTTGGGTGTTTTTCTACATTTTCATATATATTGTATTCTGTGTTGTAATTTAAATCAAAGTGTATATTATTTTTTATTATAAATATTTACTCTGTAAATATGATAAAAGAAATTGTATTTTTCAGTTCGCCTCATACAAGTACTGTAGTGCAGTCTCTTTGACTGAAAGTGCAATTTACAAATGTAGATTTTTTTTGTTACATAATTGCACTCAAAAACAAAACAATGTAAAACTTCAGAGCCTATAAGTCCTTCCACTTAGCCCTACTTCTTGTTCAGCCAATTACTGAGATAAATAAGTTTGTTTACATTTACAGGAGATAATGCTGCCCTCTTCTATTTACAATGTCACCAGAAAGTAGGGTGACCAGATGTCCCGTTTTTATTGGGACAGTCCCATTTTTGGGGACGTTTTCTTATATAGGCGCCTATTACCCCACACCCCCTCTCCCATTTTTTCAGTTGCTATCTGGTCACCCTACCAAAAAGTGAGAACAGGCATTTGCATGGCACTTTTGTAGCCATCATTGCAAGGTATTTACGTGCCAGATATGCTAAACATTGCTATGCTCCTTCATGCTTCAGCCACCATTCCAGAGGACATTCTTCCATGCTTATGACGCTTGTTAAAAAAATAATGCATTAATTAAATTTGTCACTGAACCCCTTGAGGGAGAATTGTATGTCCTCTGCTCTGTTTTACCAGCATTCTGCCATATATTTCATGTTATAGCAGTCTTGGATGGTGACCCAGAACATGTTCTTCATTTTAAGACCACTTTCACTGCAGATTTGACAAAACGCAAAGAAGGTACTAATATGAGATTTCTAAAGATAGCTACAGCACTTGACCCAAGGTTTAAGAGTGCCTTCCAAAATCTGACATGGACGAGGTGTGGAACATGCTTTCAGAAGTCTTAAAAGAGCAACATTCCGAATGCAGAAACTACAGAACCCGAACCACCAAAAAAGAAAATCAATCTTCTGCTGTTGGCATCTGCTGCTTTGGATTGTTATCGAGCAGAACCTGTCATCAGCATCGACGCATGGCCTCTGGAATGGTGGTTGAAGCACGAAGGGACATATGAATCTTTAGCGCATCTGGCACATAAATATCTTGCAACACCGGCTACAACAGTGCCATGTGAACACCTGTTCTCACTTTCAGGTGACATTGTAAACAAGAAGTGGGCAGCATTATCTCCTGCAAATGTAAACAAGCTTGTTTGTCTGAGCGACTGGCTGAACACACAGGACTGTGTGGACTTGCAGGCTCTAAAATTCTACATTGTTTTATTTTAGAATGCAGGGGTTTTGTACATAATTCTACATTTGTAAGTTCAGCTTTCATGATAAAGGGATTGCACTACAGTACTTGTATTAGGTGAATTGAAAAATGCTATTTCTTTTGTATTTTTACAGTGCAAATACTTGTAATCAAAAATAAATATAAAGTAAGCACTGTACATTTTGTATTCTGTGTTGTAATTGAAATCAATATATTTGAAAATGTAGAAAACATCCATAAATATTCAAATAAATGGTATTCTATTATTGTTTAACAGTGCGATTAATCACGGTTAATTTTTGTAATCGCTTGACAGCCCTAAAAAGAAGCATATATTAATATATTTGTTGAATGCCTAAACCAGTTCAGGATCAATTAAGCAATGGTATGTTTTAATAAAGTACTGACAAACTGAAAGAGATTTCATTTTTTTTAAATAATTTTAATATTACCTCAAGTAAAATTTATATACTGGAATAAACAATTTCTGCAACGTGACAAATACACTCAAATCCCAGTGAAGTCCATGGGAGTTGAAGACACCTAGGTGTGTTTGAAAATCCCATTAGGTGCCTATCTGGATCTTTAGGCACCTAAATACCTTTATAAATCTGGTCCTTAGGACTAAAGGAGAAACTTTAGATATATTGTACTGTATACTTATCTATATATACACGTGTGTAATATCTAGTGTGTTTAAATGTAATGCTTATGTAGATTTGTGTACCTCTAGCAAGAACACAAAAATGGCCAAAACAAAGCTGTGAATCAACACAAGGAACTACAGAACAATATTTCTACCGAGCCAAAAAAGGGAATATCAAGAAATCAACAGAAAATGTTTACTAAATCAAAAGATCCTATGAAACAGAGAAAATTAGAAATGTCACCAGTAGCCTCACCTGAAAGCCCAGCATCTGTTGAGACGATGAGATGTGTGTATTATTTTGTATTTTCATTTTTAAAGTTGTCAGCTCCAGTTTTGGATATGAATTAATTAATGTCTCTCTCTAATATCAATTCATTCCAAATAATTGCTTTAAAATATACATACTATATCTTCTTTACATCCATTTAATGTACAACGTTATATGTTAAAATGCAGAAAATACATAGGTGTGCTGTCATCATTGTTATAGATATATAACAATGGACTCCTCGTTATTTTTGCTGATACAGACTAACGCAGCTACCATTCTGAAACCTGATAGATATTATGGTTGATATTTCATACCAGAGTGTAATAGAAATACAATATATCAGTGAAAAGAACAGTTGGTAATTTACTTGCTATTAAAATATACTATAATGATGAGCAATGCTAAGTAAAAGCAATTTATTTCTTGTTGTGTAGACTTTAAGGACAAAGCACTTGCATGAGAGTAACTCAGTTGTGATATGAAAATATATTTCTAAATATCCAGCTGTTCCATATGAAAGGTATAGCATTTTATTACAAAACCCAAATATTTTATGGTCATGGGCAAATACATGTTTTTTCTTTATATGGTCAACAAAGAAGTTCCAGTATGTATTTTACTTGACTGCTTATTCAGTTTCAAAGGCAGTTTTTAATATGAAGTATGTCTTATTAAAGGATCGGATTTTCATGGTGATATCCCAGTCCATTCAGTTTGCAATTCTTTTTTTTTTCCTAACACTATGGATTGTATTTTCTAAATAGTATTATAGTTCTTAGGTCAAATCTGGACCATTGAGCACCCACAACTCCTGTTCAAGGTAACTGGAATTGCAGATGCTCAAAGACATGCAAGACAACCCCTTGAAAGCCCGCAACATGACTTTGTGTCCATCCTTCCATGGAACTCACAATGACATCAGTAGGAATTCTGTACACAGAGAAGACTTGTGATATGAGGTATAAAAGAAAAAGAAGGTGTTATGGCCTAATATCCTCAATTAAGTGTTCCTACTTACTAGGTGCTGAAAAAGTACCAGAGGAAGCATTTACCCAGGAACATGTTTCCTTGAAAAGATCAACATCATCCTATCTTCAGGACTCAACACCAGAAAAGAGGGAATCCTTAAGCATTGTGAAAGGAATTTCAGCTAACAAGCTTTATACAACAAAAAAGAATAATCAAAGTATACATCCAAAGCAATCATCTGAAAATGTCAGAAAGTTGGTATTTGGAAATGAAAGTTTATCACCAGTTTTAAGTCCACTTTCTTTGGTAAGAATTTAAAGTTACTCTTTACAATTCTATCAATGTCTGCATTATCTTAAGTAAAGTATACAGTATTCATTAATTAATTGGAACAGCTTCTTCATTTGGGTGTTTTCAGGGGAACGGATGTCTGTTTATAGTAAATGAGAATTAATTCTGTTTAATAGGAATAGAACTAGTAGACCATTCTAACAAAAAATCAGGCCTGTAGAAGGTGTTTAAATTGTATTCAACCAGGTGCTTTTGTAAGTGCAAAATTCCATGCTCTTTTTCAAAACAGAACTATCCAAAAAGAGGTTTAAAAGATGGAACATTAAAGCACAGATATGATAAATATAATTTATATTATTTTATATTTATGCAGTTCAAGTATTTAACTTGAAGATTTGTTGTATTGTCTCTTTTTTACTTGGTGTCATGATTAGGACAGATGCATAATCAAGAAAACCAGGTAGTGAAATAGGCTGTTGTAATCAGGAATACTAGTGTAATAATCATGGGAGGCATTAACTACAGTATATATCAAAATTTACAACAATGCAAAAAGTAATATTGCTAAGAGGTCCCAACCAAGATTGGGGCCAGCCCCCTTCTTTTAACTGCTTTATGTATACATAGTAAGAAATAGCCCCAACTTCAAAGAATTTGCCTTCTAAATAGACAAGACAAAGGATGGGAGAAAAGAAATATTATTCCCATTTTACAGATGAGGAACTGAGGCAGCGAGAAATTAAGTGAGTTGCTCAAGGTCACACAGGAAGTCTGTGGCAGAGTTGGGGCCTGCCCTCAGAACTCCTGAGACTCTGGCCAGTGCCTTACCCACGAGACCATCCTTTCTTCTCCCTCACATCTCTGTTTATTCATTGGTCAGAAGAAACAAACACTGATTTCCCCAAGAGAAATAAAACTGAATATCTTCCAGCACAATGTATTTATATATTTGTATTAATCAGAGTTATCATTCAGTTGCACATGTCCATTTCAACAGAGAGGTGCCAATGAAAATATCCTCCTGTATGTGTACTTTTCTGTATCTCCAGCTGGGGACATGAATTTGAGGTTTTCCCTAATCCACAAACACATTCCAAATTGCTCAGTCTAGATTCTCACAAGTATGTATTATACTCATGTGGGAGCATGACAACTCTACATTTTCACTCATGCAGTTTTTGGAAGTCCTGTTTACTTGGCAGTAGGTTGGGCCCACATAACCCATGAAGCCATTAAATTCCATGTAGATTGTTAGATCAGTGGAGGCCAGGACTATCTTAAAGTGCCTTCAAACTGCCTCCCACTTCTTGGCTGTCCTCTCATCCTCTTGGCAGCAAAGCTCAGAGTTCCATGTTTCCAGGGGTACCCCACACTAGCCACTTTCTCCAAGTCCTGCTTTAGAGATTTCAGATCATGAAAGGGAACACATTTAAATTAATAGACTATAGGTGGAATTTTCAAAAATGCTGACTTAGAAACACGAATCCCAATGACTTTCAATGACACCTGTGTTTCTAAATCACTTATGGTGGGATTTTCAAAAGAGCTTAGGTCAGCATTAACTCAGTCAGAGGATTCCTGCATGGTTGAAGAGGTGAACTCTGTGGAAAGTGTTCCCTTGTCATAGATTTCAGTCCCTGGAGTACACTCTCTGAGAGGGGTGTTGAGGTGGGGAGATGGGAATATCACAGAGTATACACTTTCTTCTTCTATGTCCCCACCTCAAGTCTGAGTCTCTGACTTCTTGGATCTCTGTCCTCTTCATTTGTAGACACTTAGGTTATGATCTGTCCCTTAATTATTAGAAAAGTAGAGACAACTAGTTCATCTTTATCTTACACTTTCATAGGATTATGAACATGTTTACAGTCACTTTTATTTTAATTATGCATCCTGCTATGTGCTGAGATTTTTTTTAAACTTCTGTTTAGATTTTCTATAAACTGATAAAATCTTCTTCTTATGATATGACTGATGTAAATGTAGAGCAACAATTATAATTTTACATTTAGATGGTTAAGCCAGATAATTGCATCTGGAGTAGCATAGTGTATTGCTGTGATGCCTCCTTTGTATCTGTGAACCGGGCATTGAGTTGTTCCACGATCTGTTCTGGGTGACCAGTCACACACTGGAGAGTCTTTAATTTTCCATTTGTACAACAAGTATCCGCATCTGCCATGGTTTGTGTGGATACAGTTTAGGGTTGTCCATGAGCTTCGTGGGAGATAGAAGCCAGGGATCTTCTGCATCGGGTCTTTCATGAGGTGTTTGTGACTTCTTGTGAACTCCATTCAGCTTTCCATGCTTCATCAGGGTTGAAGTTGCATTGTTGAAGGTTAAATGCGTGGGTCCAAAAGGGCTTACACCACTTCACGCAGTGGTGAGGGATGTTGTTAAGGTCCTGGTGTAGGGAAGATGTTCATTTTCCATGATCCGCTGGAATTCCCAAAGGGTTGTGGCATCACAGCAAACGTACGGGGGAGCAATGTGCAACAGCACTGGCAGCCAAGGTGTTGGGGTCAATGTGAGGGTTCCAGTGAGGCACCACATTGCAGTGTTTAGTTGGACATCAACAAGTCAAGTATGGCTACTTCTCCAATGCACAGTATTCAGCTACAGAGTACACAAGGGCTATAAAATTAGTACATTTGAATATCCATTTTTAACAATAGTTTTATTATTTTCTTTTGTGTAGCCTAGTCTGACTCCAGTAACTATGGACAAAGCTGTCATGAGTGGAAAAGACATAGAGGTTACTGAACCTGAGGTGGAAATATGTGATATTAGTGAGGCAGTGAATGTTACAAATTACCTTTCAGACAAACTCTCCACTGACACAGAACTGAAAGATCTCACTAAAAATATGAAAAACAGAGGAGAGGTATGATATAGACCATCTATCCCATTTGAAAAGCTGCAGCGTTGTATGTTTGTTTATTTTACAGTTGGTGGCATTAGGGGAAAATGTATGTTTATTGCTTTACATTTTTAACATTGTTTTCAAATGTTTTCTTGTAATATTGCCTGCATATTTCAGTTTAGTATAAAAACAGTGTTGTCTTGGATGTCATTGTTAGAAACTATCTTAATTCAGACTTTGCCTGTGTTATGACTCTAAGGAAATAATCTCTCATCCCAGCAATAGCACTGATGATTTGTATTTTAACAAAGAACACAAAACATATCTTTTGCTTTTGCCTTGAATTTTTTTAAAATGGAAAAAAATTTCAAGAAGAAAATGACTTGTCACTTCTGCATACAAAAACTTATAAAATAAAATTAGGTAGTTTCTTCTACTTTTAGCCTTAGGCTATTAATAGAAGTCCTGAAGAATTAATAATTATTAAAAATTTTGCCACCGAACCAAAATACTTTGACAAAACTAGTATGTGCAGACTGATTTGTTTGCTGTGACTGTACCTTAGTATTTTGATATTTATATTTCTAGTTTTTAAATAAACATGTAAATGTTCATTTATGATGAAGACTATCTAAATTAGTTCACTGTTCTGGAGGTTAATATATAATTTTTTATATTTTTTTTTTTTTTTAGGAATCTGTACCTCCATCTCAATTGTGCACTTCTAGTGGAAGCAGAGAACAGTCATGGTGTGAAGATCCCTGTGGCATTATACATGAATCTGGTATGTAAGTGTCTCTTATGAAAAAGCACTTTCTTTGAATATCTATAAATAGTTAATGAAAAGCATGTCTAAGATACAAAAATATGGCCTGATTCTTCAAGCCCTACACGTGGAAATGGAACTCCTATAAACTTTATTTAGTATTTTTTACCAGTATATTTGTCTTTTCATATATACTCAGTTTATTCTGTTCCTAAAGTTAGTGTTAATCTTTGTTGTTATTGATAGGAAGCTACTGTTAGATGTGAATGTTTTTCACTTAAGCTTAGAAGCATCAATTGGGAGTCTGTTTAGGCACCCCTGCCTATATAAACTGAGAATTTAACTCGAAAAAGCCTCTAGAGGTCTGCCTTCATGAAAATAATGGTAAGTGGAACTTTTTAGCACTCCCAGGATTGCTAGACTGGGTATGTGAGAGGACAAATTTACAGGTAAGACGCTAAATTGGCCTGTTTGGAGAATGTGGTTCGATAGAGATGCGTGATTATAGCTATGGATCCACAATTCTGCGAGGGCCATGGAGGCTATTACATCCCTTGGAGCCCCATTGCCACACTTAATTTAGGAGCCAAATTAAGTGCTTTTTGAAAGAATAGTCCCTTCATCTTGATTTAATTAAGTACCCAACTTTTCTCCAGAGGGTTTTTCTGCCCATGAGTCTTTCAGGAGTAAGGGATCTGCAGAAGCAATTCCCAGTGAAAAAAGGAAGCATATTTATTTTAACAGATGTTCTGTAAGTATATTATGTCAGCAGACCCACACTATTCATATCATCCATCCTTTTCTGCTTCATTGGAGTCCTTGCATGGTATATGGCCTAAGGACACTGAAGGTGATTGGGGCAGCAGCCCCTTATATTGACATGCACCAAACAGTCAGGGCTGTGCACAAGTCCTCTTGCAAATGCAACATTCATTGATTTCTCTATAGCTCTGAAATTAAATATGTTTGTCATACTTTAAAGGGCCTACAGTACAAGTGAATCTCAAACGAATGTACCACAATGATGCAGAAAGTGATTCTGATGAAGTAGAAACGAGGGAGGAAGAAGAAGAGAGAAAAACAAAGCTGCTCCCTAGAAAATTATTTAAAGCAGATGATGATACTGTGTATAAAGGTTAGCTGGAGCTATAGTCATACAAAAAATGTAAACCAGAAAACTGCTTGAAGTATTAACTATGAACAGTAATATTGGAATTCTAATTAAAACCCTTAGGATAGGGTGACCAGATGTTCCGATTTTATATGAACAGTCCTAATATTTGGAGCTTTTTCTTAAATAGGCGCCTGCTACCCACCACCCCTTGTCCTGATTTTTCATACTTGCTATCTGGTCACCCTACTTTAGGACCTCTTAATAAGCTCCATTTTTATTGCAGACATTTAAGAAAAGAGAATTACCTGCTCTTCTCTAAGACATTGATACAGAATGTTGTGGAAAATTTTCTTTCCTTAACTAATAACATAAATGTTCAAGAAACACAGCAGTCGACTTCTTATCATTCAGATGAATAAACAAACAGAAGTTTGATCACTTATGGTCAGTAAAGACTAATTGCATGTTTCACATGAGATGCATCCCAGTATTCTCTCCAAATTGGAATCTGAATATTTATATTTTGCCTACCTAAATTTGCAATAGTTTACCAGTTGGATAAGGTGTTGTCTGAGATCACTTCTTTCTCTTACTGAAACAGGAATACATTCTCCATAGACTGTTATGTCTCTATCTATTAGGAAGTAAGGAGGCAAATAATTCGGAGTCACTGCAGGTATATCAGATAAACGAGTGTCCCCTACTCTGATATATACTTCCCTCAACCGGTTCCTTGGCATGAGACTCGCTGGGGATAGGGAGAGGAGCACTGACTAGAAGGAGAAACATGTAGTAGAAGATAAAAGGCCGCATCATGCTCAGCAGTACAACAGTGAAACTGGTGGCCTGGGACAGCAGGGCTGATCATGAGCTTCACCTAGGGCTCCTAGAAGAAGAGGAGTTAACTTTGAGAATACTTAGGGGTCAAGCCCATGGACATAAGATACTCTGGTAGAAGACCTCATTCCCAATAGGTCTCACTCCCACCCCAAAGTGCTGTAGAGAGACACAACTGAAAGTCCTGAATTCTGGGAACTAGAGCTGGATGACACTCTAGCTCCTCTGTCCTTTTTTTCTCCTTTCTTGCTTTTTCTTGTCTTTTCTTCTTTCCTCCTCCTTACCATCTTTCATCAGACCTGAAGAAGAAGACGCGAAATTAGGGGAGTTAGCTGAAGCATGGATTCAATGCTTGCAATAAGAGTCGAGGCAAAGAAGTCTTAGACTTGGGGAGGGCACTTTTAAACCTCGGCTGGCTCATAGAATTTGTTGTGTCCTTGCTTCCTGCTAGGGAAATCCATAACGCAGTGTGCAAGAACTCATTCATTTTCCAGAAAAGGGAAGAAGTGGGCTGCAACAAACGAAATAACTGGTAAGAAATCATCTGTCATCACTTTCTTTACTAAATTGCTATATGTTAAATTGTTGTGTGTGGTATAATAGTAGCTAAATTTCATTCAAGAAGTCGTTGCAATCTCTTTGGTGGAAATAACAATGTCTGTTTTATCTTTGTATTGGTATATGTTTAAATTTTTTAAGCATTTTGAAATCCTTTAGTAGTAAAGATGGTATGCAAATTCAAGGTATGGTTGGGTCATAGCCTGCGTAAGGACTTCAGGATATCTCCTTTAGACATAACATTTTACCTTCTGAGAGATCTACCCATTTGAGTCCTAATTTTCAAACATTAAGTATGCAATGACATGCCAAATTTGTGTGTGCAATGTTTTGGGGCAGATTTTCAAAACGTCTAATATTGGCCTGCTTTTTTCATGCTCAACTTTTTAAAGTTCTGATATAATGTCATTTATGTATTTAGAGTGGTGTTGCCCCTGTAAACTGAAGAGATAAGGGAGAGAGAGTGTGTGTGTAATACATGTGTACTTGATAAATCTCTGGAGATGTTTTAGTGACTGGGTGGATAATAGGCTTTTTACCGAATTTCTAAATAGTGTACTATATTTAACAATTATAGATTTCAAATCCCTGATAAATAATGTCTCATGCAAAACATTTGACATATTTAAAAAAAATTAGAAAGAAACAAATCAACCATATACAAATGAAATCTGTTAAAGCCGGAAAGGGGTTAGTATACATATTACATTACACTAACCCAATAAGGATTACATTACGCTTTCCTCAACGGACTTACCCTGTTTTTATACCAAAATTATATGCAAGGGGTCAGATTGTATGACTCTTACTCAGCCTGCGGAGCACTTACTTAGGGGGAATAGTCCCACTAAGTCACTGAAACTACTCCCCTGAGTAAGTCCCCACTAACTTGAGTCAGGGTGGCACAGTCAGCCCCATATTGTTCCCGTTCAGCCTATTCAGTCTATATTGCTGGGAAATCTCTGCACATTTGAAAATCAATGTATAGTAATAGTATAAGAATAGTATAGAAGAAGGTGAAAAGTTTAATTTCTGAAATTAAACTGGATGCAATTGAAGTTGACATGAGCCCTAGTCTTGGGATTTATAAACCCAGGCCTCAGAACTGAAATAACTTATACTGTACAGATGATACATTAGTATGTTCCTAATTCTCTAATGTTACATATGATCTTTTACAAATTTTCAGTGTCCGAGAGCATATCTACTGTGTCTGTAAATGAGTTGTCTGTTTTGGATGGAGAGGTCTGGGACCCTGGTTGTTCAAGTGTAGGGATAGGTCAGAAGCTCCATAAGGAATTTACTAGGAAAATTCAGGTAAGCTATATATGTGTGTGTAGAAAAAATACTGTGTTTCTTTCATTCATTCTCATATAAGGTTGCCATGTCAAAGACTGAGAAGTTAGTAACTAATTCCAGAATAAAGGTTGTCTGCGCAACCTTTATATGGTACCCTTTTTGCATATGCATTATGATGCATTCTTTTAATTACATGATCATACCTCAGGACCTCTGCCTCATTCAGTGCACAGGTCGGACTCTGCTCAAGGATTGAGGCAATTCTTCAGTATTTCTTTTTATCCTTCAGTGGTGGCCCCATGTTACATTTACTACATACCAGTCAAACCCTGCCCAGTATACAGAATTATTAATTTCCTCAGGATCTGTTTTTTTCTTCTTCTTTTTTTTGGGGGGGGGGGGGCACTTATCACTGTTGCATCTGAGTGCCTCAGAAACATTTATGCATTTATCTTCACAACACACCTGGCTGAGGTAATGTTATTATCCCCAATATGCTGAAGGGAGATTGATGGATAGTTGTCCATATAGACAACAACCTTGTTTCACTGCCTGAGTTCTGTTCATCCTGTGCATTGAATGAAGCATGGGTCCTGTGGAAAAAATTGTATGTGATCATGTAATAAAGACTATAATCATAATATATACGCATAGGAGAGATAAATTAGGGTTGGTCAGGAAATCTCAATTCTGGCATGACTTGACTTCGATAAAACGATGTTCAAGTTACATAGTGATTTTTTTCGATATAATTTGCTAGTTTTTCAAAAACACAAAATGATAAAACAAATTCCATTATGCAGAACTGTGTTTACCCTACATATGGGTCCGTCAACAGATTTGGAACCATTAAATCCACAGCAAAGACCTCTGTGAGTTATGGAGTAGTTGGTAGTTACTTGAGGGAAATGAGAGACACTTTGCCAGTGAGTTTCACAGTGTTTGCTGACAACAGAGGAATGTTAAGACTGAATCCTGACTTCCATTCTGGGTTCTAGAGGGGGTATGTTCCAGTGGTTAGACCCTTTTGTCCCTGTGTCCCCTAGTATGTCTTCCTACAGCTTGTGTCCCATGTGTCTGTCCCTCTCTGCTCTTGTCCCTTCCCAGCCTGTCTTTCTTCCTCCTCCAATTCCAACCTTCTCCTGTCCTGTAGCGCCTTCTCTGCATTCAAGTTCTGCTACTTCCTCGTTTTTCACTCACTTGGGCACTGCAGGGAACGCTGAGAGCACAGGAGAGGTAGTCTTCCTGCTCTCAAGTCTGGTATGCAGCAGCCCCTGACATGAACAAACAGAAAAAAAGACCTGTTCAGTCTAGGCTACAGCATGCTCAGTGAGCTCTCTGGAGGTGGAGCATGCTCAGTAAAGACAGGACGCTTGTAGAATTTTGCTATCCATCTCTAACTAACTTCTAGTAAGTATATGTAAACAGTGATTTTTCAGAGACTTATAATTCAACTACATTTTGGTGGATTTTCAAGGGAAAGCAAAAGGAATGTCCCTGATCTGAGGGTTAATGTTGACTTTTGTCCACTGTAACCTGTGATCTTTTATAAGTAACTACTGTGGTTACGTTTTATAATACAGTATTTTATCATTCTTTTCTCAGTCAATTAAACAATTATCTTTCTAGAGCCGCTCAAGAAGAATGGACCACTTTACCAAGCAATCCTTGAAAACAGCTCAGCAGCATTTGACAACAATGAATTGTCAGTTGCATGAATGCAGGTCTGTAGCAGAATACTTATTCAAAAACTTAATTTGAATGACATAAATGCTTTTTTATTTTTAGTTTATTTCTGTTTTGGTAGGATAAAGCAACTGGACAAATTTCATTTCACCATCGTAGAGGAGCTTGAGAGTTTTGAAAAAGATTCACAATCTTTGAAAAATATGGAGAAAGAATTATTGGTTTGTATTTAAATTATTTAATGGAAAAAATCTGTTTTCTAAAAATATTGGATTTTTCTCTTTTTTTAGTATGGCATTTATCTGTGGACCATTACTACTGGCTCTGAGAAGATGTGTTTTGTAACTTGCTATAAAAAAGAGCTACACATTTTGCATAAAGTCAAAAATTTACCATCTTCCTGGCATTTGGCTTTATTTTTATTTTCAGAGAAACTACTAAGTGGTTAGGATGTTTCAGGCAAACAAATCCAGCCTTTGAAATTGATTTATTGTGTATTCTAAATAAGACTCCTAGCCTCCATAGGCCTTAGTTAACTCAGAGGTAAACTTCTTATTTAGTATCCAAATGGCTCACCTTGGACTTTGGTGAGTCTGCTGCTGGCTTTAATGTAAAATTAACAATAAGAATATTAATATAAAGGTGAAGACAGTGGATTAGTACACTAGGTTTTTACTCTGGAAAGAGCTTAAAATAAAACATTGGAACAAATTTAGTCTAATTTTAACCACATTGAACTCTGTTTGGATTGTCTGATCAAAGTGTCTTGGGCTTTCTGTTTGCCAGTAGGGGAAACAGCCATTCACGATAGATTTTGGGAAATATGGGCTGAAATTGCTGGTTGAGTTAAAGGTGAGTGCTTTACAGTTTGATCCTGCCCCACTGAGCCTTTAATTTTTTAAAACACCTGAGGATATGATGGGCTCTTGTAGAATGCCTAATCATTCTGTTCTTAGTCTGTCATTATAGGTTATTTGGGAACAGGAGAAACCTATCTTTTAAAAAAAAAAGAAACGGAGTACTTGTGGCACCTTAGAGACTAACAAATTTATTTGAGCGTAAGCTTTCGTGAGCTACAGCCCATTTCATCGGATAAATTTGTTAGCCTCTAAGGGGCCGCAAGTGCTCCTTTTCTTTTTGCGGATACAGACTAACATGGCTGCTACTCTGAAACCTATTTTTTTTAAAAAAGTCCTACATTCCGTGGATTAACTTCTTACTGGTTCAGTTAATTATTTTATTTCTTTTTAGAACTTTTGGAAAAAACATGCACTTACGTTTAGTGCATGCAAGAAAAATGAACAGCGGAGGTTAGTGGGGTTTGTTAATGTTGTTATGAGACCTGGATTCCATTCATGACTCTGCAGTTGGCTCAATATATGACTTTGAGCCAAGTAACTTAATGCTCTACACCTTCGTTTCATCATCTGTATGTAAAACATATTGAAATCTATGGATGAAAAGCGCTGTATATGAAAACATTAATAAATAATGTTGTTATCCACATAAATTTCTGCCAGAGTCTAGTGGAATATTACATTAATACGGATAATAATGGTCATCAATGTTTTTCAATAGTATGTTAGACTAAAAATTGAATTGCCCTATTCAAGATCTTTGTTGTATTTTCATATATGGCAAAGATCATTAATTTGCATTTTTGTTGTTAGGATTCAGATTCTTAAAACTTCATTTGAAAAGCACATCTCCCACAGTGTTAACTATGAGGAAAATATTTTTACTTCTGAGGTATGACATTTGTTCTCTTTAGTTTTGTTTTTATTTCTTACATTATGTCACCTGATTACTTCTTTATAGGCCAAGTCTTTACCGCCAGCATTATACTAATATCCTCTAGATACTTTTTAATAACGTTTTTCCTTAATTTGACCATAACTTGTGCAATGTTAAGGACTTAATATTACCCTTTTAGAAGAGATGAACACCTAATTTGATAATCATGGCAGAAATTTCATGGCCATGCAGCATAGTTTATATTATATTCTGCAGCTTTACTCACCAGTGTTTCAGTTATGCAGGAAAGAGCCAATTAGAAACAAGCAGTATGGCAACTGTCCTCTCAATTTTTCTCTCTTCCTCAAGTTTTTTCCTGCCTCGCAATTAAGAAAACATCAAGCACCTCTAGCTTAAGTGCTACCTTTCAGGCACCCAAACTTGTAGTTCTTTGGGGAATATTATTAATATCTTGAATTTCACCAGGGAGTGAGCGAGCCCACCTGATGATCACTTTAGATAAGCTATTACCAGCAGGACAGTGGGGTGGGAGGAGGTATTGTTTCATGATCTCTGTGTGTATATAAAGTCTGCTGCAGTTTCCACGGTATACATCTGATGAAGTGAGCTGTAGCTCACGAAAGCTCATGCTCAAATAAATTGGTTAGTCTCTAAGGTGCTACAAGTACTCCTTTTCTTTTTGCGAATACAGACTAACACGGCTGTTACTCTGAAACAGGAAATAGTTGCAGTCTTTGGAGTACTGGTGTAATATGTTCCTTGTAACCAGCACTGCTCAGTGAACAGGACACTGCATTGTGCACTAGGTGTATCTCCTGAGTGGGGCTAATCTTGAAGTCTGTATAGAGACCATTACAATAATCTAATATGAAAATCATAAATGACAATGTCCATATCGGAGAGAAATGGGTACTCACAAACAGATGAAAAAATGTCACTTGTGGCTACAAAGGTCACACAAGGTCTCCGAAATAATGAAAGATCCAGAGTTACCTTTAAGTTGTTAACTCCTTTGACAAAGGGCCGCTATGCTTCCTCAATCAAGAAGGATCTCTAGATGTTTCCCTTTATCCAACATCTTTGCTATATGTAGATTGAGTCTCAACCAATTCTGTCATATCTAGGGCCCTGATCTTGAAAACACTTAAGCATGTGCTTATCTTTACTCATGTATGTAATCCCATTGAAGTAAGTGGAACTACTTACGTATTTAAAATTAAGTAGTTGCTTAAGTACTTTGTTGCATAAACGCCTGCTCCTTGCAGGATCAATTCCTAAACCCCTGTCTCAGCCAATCTGAGGGGAAAAATTGTCTGAGTGCAGTAGAGAAAAGATGTAAAATTTCATGTTGTTTGCATACTTGTGGCACCCAAGCTGATGCTAATGTCAGAATTTGGAGTAGATGCCATAGTACTTAGTTGGTTCTGCCCTAAAAAGATTAATATTTCCCACCAGTTTCCTGGACAGCCTTATTTTGAACTATGGGAAGACTGAGCATTAGTACAATCTGATTTTACATTTAATTTGAGGACATAAATTGTCTTCATTAAAATGTATTGTCAATTGTGAAAAGAAAACGTATGTATATGACCTATGTTGTCAATTTTTATAGATGCATCTAATGAAAGAAGACATGAAAGGGCTTCAAGAGAAGCTTCTTAAAGAAATGGTAAATAAAGTTATTTTGTCTCAATTTGTTTTTGTATGTTTTCCTAAAAGAACATAATTATCTGCACATTCGCTTTTTAAAAAGTTCCTTTCAAGATGCAATTTCTAGTATACTGTCATTTGAAGCAAAAAGGAAATTATAATAAATATCATTAAAACAATGCTTAATTTTTAATACATAAAAAGTGATATATATGTATATACTCTTTTAGTTTTATGCTTATGTAGTGCCTCATTTGTGTTTTAATAGAGTTAATATTAGCACGAGAAGGAAAAAGACCATTCTAATGTTGCAATATCTGCCTGAATTCTGTGATAGTTTTAAAAAGTTTGTTTTAAAGTGTATAATAAATGTGATACTGTTCTACCATAGCATGAAGAGGAGCTGTTTAATGTTCGCAGAGGATTGCAGACACTCTTTCTGTCAGAAGGGAGAAAATTCTAATATTGTAAATTCATATATTTTGAAAACTTTTGTTTATATTTAGATTACTTTTCACTAATGGGAAGTTTTGACAATTGCATATTTACTGAGAGCTTTTTAAAGAAGTGCTATTTTAAAAGGATCTTCACATAATAAATTAGGAATATTTATTAACAAGGGGTCATTTTAAAAGGTTTATTTAATTGACAAGGAAAAAAGGAGTAATTTTCAATTAAAACTGAAGTAAGCGTCATGTTTTGGATTTGTATGTGTACATAGGACTTCTATTGCAATTAATAGGAGCTGTGTTGTACACAACCAGACACAGAATTTGACCATACATTCTTTAGCACATGAAAAGGAGATCAAATGGCATTTTTGAAAGTTGTATCCTATTTACTTATGGTATTAGCTTTCAGTTGGAATTAGTCATTGACTAAAAATATTTTGTAAAAATATATATATGTTTTAACCATATTGAAAATGTGTATTAAACATTTCAGAAAAAATATACTTTGAGTCTTTTTTCATATTTACAAATTTGCGGCATTATCACAAGGCCTAAGCAAACTGGTGCATATTTTAGGCCATTTTGAACTCGGAGTCTTTGTAAATCTGTGGTTGGTAAAGCTCTCTAAAACAGATCATCCAGGATGGCCTGCCCTTTATATAGAAATACATCCTGTAATAGTTATGCATGTCCATAACCAAAATGAGATTTCTATGTATCATGATGGATTATAATTGACTTTTCCCCCATGCTGCTATTCAGTGTCTACAATATTCTCCCTGAATTTATATGCCATGCAACCTCTCTTCTCCTTCAGATGCTCATAGCCACCCTGTCTTTTTTCCACAATCTTTCAACCAATGCTTTCCTTTTAAATTTAACAAAAAACAGTAACTAACAGGCATATTACTCAAGTAAACCTATAACATTTATAGGGCTCTTTGAGTTCCTTCTACCAACATCCTTGCCTCTGTGATCGCTCCCAGGATTTTCTCTTGTCATACTCAGTTTAGATTGTAAACTTTTTGAGAATAATGGATTTGTAACTATAGTATTTCCCATTTCGTCAGTAGCTCTTGAAGGAAACTGAAGTTAAGCATATCACCAGGTTGCCAAAAAGAAGTGGATATGGAAAATAATTCATAAATTCTACATACCTTAGAGGGCCCAAACCTCTCTCTGAAGATTGTTAATATGTTGTCCAACTTAGAGCTAACTTTCCCTTTCACCATTTTAGTTATTCTGTAAATCTGGTATTTTCCAAACTATTTTCATCATATTCTGTCTCAAAATTAACACACTGATCTCCATTTGCTGTCTGCAGCATCACACATTCTCTTCACTGTCACTTATTTCATTACCCTGTCAGCCTCTGATTTTTTTTTTCTGTTGCCCTCAGATACCTCTCTTCCTCCCTAGATTTGTTCCCTGGTGACACCATGACCTTTACTTTCAGCTCCACTTGTCTCTTACATTTGCTTCTCATACCACTTTTTCCAATCTTTTAACCACAACATTTCCTTTCCCTCATTTCCAATGCCCCCATTCCTGCCCCATACTATTGTGTTATGCTGCTATTATTATTATAATTTATTTTTATTAAGCAGCATTATTGGTGAAAGTCTGAATTCATTGATTTCCTCATTTTTAGGAGTTGTCTTGGTTTTGCTTTGCATTGATAGGATTCTTAAGCATCCAAACCCTGCGGACTCTTCTGCACAGGACGTTGTCCTTTTTTTTCAAAACCAATTTTGCCACTTAACAATAGATGTTCCCTGCTGAATCTCACCATCCTCTGTGTCTTCCTTAATGTTTATCAAATTCCATTTTCTCTTCTTTGACATAACTCTCCAGGGTCTCCAACCCCCCTACCCACTTCTAGATCCTCAACGTCCCCACCATTACTCATGACAACAAACATGGAATCTCATGATGCTATTTTATAGTCTCTCTTTCCAAAGAAAACTGCTCTCTAAGACAAGGCTTACAATATGGAAAACTTCCTGCAATTTTAAGGCTTAACATCCTTGATAGAGTTCCTTGAAGTAGAGGGAAACTTCTACTACCTTTCTAGAAAGTACTGTTATTGTATCTTTCTGGTTTGAGATACATTAAATAACAATTACTAAAGGAGAAATGTGCCTTTAAATTAAGGGAATGGAAAAATCTGTAATCCAGCGTTCACCCTGACCACACCACACGATCCATCATCTACAGCCAAGCTCTGCGATACAACCGCATTTGCTCCAACCCCTCAGACAGAGACAAACACCTACAAGATCTCTATCAAGCATTCTTACAACTACAGTACCCACCTGCGGAAGTGAAGAAACAGATTGATAGAGCCAGAAGAGTTCCCAGAAGTCACCTACTACAGGACAGGCCTAACAAAGAAAATAACAGAACGCCATTAGCCGTCACCTTCAGCCCCCAACTAAAACCCCTCCAACGCATTATTAAGGATCTACAACCTATCCAGAAGGATGACCCAACACTCTCTCAAATCTTGGGAGTCAGGCCAGTCCTTGCCTACAGACAGCCCCCCAACCTGAAGCAAATACTTACCAGCAACCACATACCACACAACAGAACCACTAACCCAGGAACCTATCCTTGCAACAAAGCCCGTTGCCAACTGTGCCCGCATATCTATTCAGGGGACACCATCACAGGGCCTAATAATATCAGCCACACTATCAGAGGCTCGTTCACCTGCACATCCACCAATGTGATATATGCCATCATGTGCCAGCATGCCCCTCTGCCATGTACATTGGTCAAACTGGACAGTCTCTACGTAAAAGAGTAAATGGACACAAATCAGATGTCAAGAATTATAACATTCATAGACCAGTCGGAAAACACTTCAATCTCTCTGGTCACGCGATTACAGACATGAAAGTTGCTATATTACAACAAAAAAACTTCAAATCCAGACTCCAGCAAGAAACTGTTGAATTAGAATTCATTTGCAAATTGGATACAATTAACTTAGGCTTGAATAGAGACTGGGAATGGCTACGTCATTATGCAAGGTAACCTATTTCCCCTTGTTTTTTCCTACCCCCCTCCCCTCATACGTTCTTGTTAAACCCTGGATTTGTGCTGGAAATGGCCCACCTTGATTATCATACACATTGTAAGGAGAGTGGTCACTTTAGATAAGCTATTACCAGCAGGAGAGTGGGGTGGGAGGAGGTATTTTTTCATGCTTTGTGTGTATATAAAAAGATCTTCTACACTTTCCACAGTATGCATCCGATGAAGTGAGCTGTAGCTCACGAAAGCTTATGCTCAAATAAATTGGTTAGTCTCTAAGGTGCCACAAGTACTCCTTTTCTTTTTGCGAATACAGACTAACACGGCTGTTACTCTGAAACCTGTCATATGAAGAAGAGCACACTGCATGATGCTTTGTCTCAAAATCCCATTTCCAGAAAGGAGCCTCTTACATTCAGAAACTGAGGTCATATGGCTCAAGCCTTCAATCCTTCAGCATGCAAAACTTCCATTGATTCAATAGGAATTGGGAGTATGTAAGTACTACAACTGAGATGCAGGATTGGACCTATAATAATTACTTTTCTTCTTCATTGATGAGGAATGAGCTATTGTGGAGAACTGGGTTCTCAACTTAAGATGTGTGTGCGCCCCATTGACCTTTGAGTGGAGATTTTAGGTAGGAGTGCCCATTCAGCTCATACATGTGTATCTCACACCTTCACTTACCACACCGAGGCTTTGTAGAGCTGCGCAGGCAAACTGCCCTCAGTTCTTTTTCCATGACCTTGACCAGAGACAGAGCCTCAGCAGTGCCAGAGCTGAGCTTACCTCAACTTATTTCTTTGCATAGTTTACTTACTTGAGTTAGATATAGTAATAGTTAGTAGTTGTTAGTACTAGATAGTTTAAAAAATAGTTTGTAAGGACCATTGTTCTTTCCATTGCTTCCCTTCACTAGTCGGGTATGCCCAGCTCTGGGATTTAAACATTTCCTTTCTTGCCAGAGGCTATTCCAGTGAGCGATGGGCACTCCAAGTGTGCCTGTTGCCTTGGGGAATCACACACACCCCAAAAGTGCACACCGGTCTCCATGTAAATCGAGTGTAGCACTCTCCCAGATCTTTTAAAAGGAAAACTCAAGAATCCTTTCAGAAGGACTCTCAGAAAAAGAGTTCAGGTTCCCCAGGATGGGAATCTGCTTCAAAGAAACTTAAGTTGCCAATTGAGACATCTACATTGATGCACCACTGGTTGCCGAGTCGGTACCAATGAAGCTGCAGGTTCTTTACATACTAGTAATACCACTAAACTGAAAGTTCTTCTTCAAGTAGTATCCCTGTGGGTGTTCCACTGTAGGTGTATCTGCGCCCCTGTGCCTCTAATCGGAGATTTTAGATAGCAGTGTCCGTTTGGCCCACACACACGCCCTCATGACACCACTCTACACATCAGTTTATTGGAAGTCAGGACAATCAGTTATGCCTGCCTCCATTTTATGCCATTGATCATGGGAAAATATGCAAAGATGATGGACAATATGACATGAATCAACCTGCAAGTGGGAGCAAGGTCACCCTCCCTCTGTGTCAAAGCAGTGAGACTTTTGTATTGGGGTGTATGCAATCAAACCCACATCTTGGCAGCACATCTTCCACAACTGCATACACCCTCAGCAAATGTTTCTCAATGTTGGGGTGTTCTACAGATAGACCTCATTGCCACTGCTAAGAACAGGAAATGTTGCCAGTCGTACTCAAGATGGGGACTGGGTTGTCTCTCCCTGGGAGATGCCCTTCTCCTTCATTAGACGTTGGGTCTGTTGTATGCGTTCCTCCAGGAACCTCTATTATCAAAATGTTGATAAAGATAAGGAAATACAAGATGAAGACTTATACTGGTAGGTCTGACATGGCCGAGACAAACATGGTTTCCTTACCTCATCCAGTTGGCAATTTGTCAACTAATCATCCTCCAAACTGTCCTTTAGCTTCTTTCTCAGAATGCTGGTCAAATTCTTCACCCCAGCTTCAGAGTTCATGGCTTGTTGATGGTTTGCAGGATTAGAAACAACCTGTTCTGAGGAAGTGAAGTAAGTATTGTTATGTAGTAGAAAGCAGTCTACTCATAATACTTATCTATATAAATGGATTCAGCCACTGGTGTGGGCTAAGGCATTTTTCACCTGCATCCTTGTCACTGTTAGGTATCCTAGATTATATTTTAGAATTGAAAAAGACAGGATTGTCTTTGAACTCTATTAGGTTACATTTGGCAGCCATTACAACCTTCCATTCCAGTCAAACACTTTTCAGTGTTCACACATCCAGTGATGGTGAGATTTCTCAAGGGCTTTGGGAATTTGAACATGCTACATCTGGGACCTTAACTTGGTGCTTAGATGCCTTAGAAGACCTCATTTTGAGCCAATGGTGAGCTATTCTCTACTTAATTTATCAATTTAAAATAGCCTTCCTGGTAGCCATTACTTCTACTCAAAAAATTGGAGTGATCAGGGTTCTGATGGCATATCTCCCCATTCACAGTATTCTTCAAGGACAAGGTTATGCTATCATCACACCCCAAATTCTTACCGAATGTGTCATCTGACTTCCACATTAACCAGACTATACATCTTGTCAAGAGGACATTAGCTTTTTACCTGGACAGGACTGAGACATTTAGAAAATCTCCCACATTGTTTGTCTGTTGCTGACAGGTCCAAGGAATCCCCAGTTTCCAATCAAAAACGCTGTATGAATATCTGGTTGCATTATCTTTTGTTATCATTCTAATGGTCTCCAACCTCCTCCTAAAGTACTAGATCTCTTTCTGCTTCAGCAGCCTTTCTTAATGTCCTCATTACTGAGCTCTGTAGAGCTGCAACTTGGACCTCCATATGCACTTTTTCTAAGCATTGGGCAGTAACTCATACTCAGCTTCAGATGCTGTGTTTGGCTGTACTGTACTATCTTCACTTTTGGACTCTATTCCAAAGTCTATTCCCATTCTGCTAGAGGGTGTTGCTCAGTAGTCACCTGAAGTGGAGTACCCACGAGGACACTACTCAAAGAAGGAGAAGTGCAGTAACTGTAGTTCTTTGAGATGTGTGTCCCTGTGGGTGCTCACTACCTGCCCTCCTTCCCCTCTGCTTTGGAGTTTCTGCTATGGAACTTTGCAGTAGAGAAGCAACTGGGGGTAGTTTGCCCATGCAGCTCTATGTAGCCTTGGTGTGGCGCGTGGGGTTGTGTAGGGTTCGTGTGTGTACTGAACAAGCACTGCTACCTAAAATCTCTTCTCAAAAGTGCATGTGCACCTGCAGTAGAGCACCCATAAGATGACACATATTGAAGAACTACTGTTACTACACATGGTGAGTTACACTTTCTTCTTCTAGCATAACTCCATTTACTAAATTTTAGTTACTCCAGCAAATAATTTGGTTTGTTTATTTCAATTCACAATTATTGAGATCATCCCAATCAGATAATTCCTGAATAACTATTACCTTTCCTGTAATCTACACTTCTGTATTATTGTTCCACTCTGGTTTTGTTGAACTTTCACTGCATGTACTGTGTTTATTGATTTATGGTGCTTGGTTACACTTATGTGAAGCTGCTTTCTGTTCCAAAATCAGTACTGATTCCATTCTTTATATTTGTTAACTCATTCAGTTTCAGTAAATTTTGCATTGGTGGTCACATCAATAAATACCAACTTCATTAAGGTGCTGTGCCTTCCACTAGCTGCTACTAATTTTGTATTACTTACTTGGTGTTATGTTTGCTTCTTTATTTTGAATAGATATATGAATAAATTGATTATAGGTCTGATCCTTTAAGGTGCTGAGCTGTTGTCTCCCACAGAAGTTCATGAGAGTTGAGTGCTCAGCAGTTCACAAGATATGGCTATTCACTTGTAATATTTAATCTTTGAGCTTTGAATATACTTGGTGGTGGTGTTACACTCTCTTAATAACAGATATGTTCTTTCTATAGTAGCAGTTTGACTCAGGGCATTTTCTTACCAGGATCCAAATGCTGTGCCAAATGCAAGGCATGTGATTAGAGTAGGGATTTTACAGACAAACAGAAAAAATTAGGACTGTTCATTGGTTTTTATTAGATTACATGCAGCAGTGTGCAATTATTCATCAAATAATTTAACTTTTAAAATATAGTTTTATTGTTTATCATAAAAATTTGTGTAAACCTACATCTATCTGTGTAGGTTTTCTCAAATCCTGCAGTCTTTATTCATGCAAATCTCTGACTTCAACGTGGAATGAAGGATTTGGCTCATCTATTTTTTACTTTGTTGAGTAAAGTCTTACTTATACAATTTCACTGTGCATGTATTTCTAACTCTGTGTCTCTCTCTTAAAGTTGTTAAATCACATGATTGTTGTGAAGAGCACAGTAAACTAAACTGTGTTAAAATACGTCTTGGTTTTCTTGATGTTCGGAGTGTGGTTTGGCCCCCCAATCAACCATGTCTAGAAATATCTATTCAAGAGTTTGGGGTTGTTGTTTTTTAATGTTTGTTTGTCCACAGAACATGTATATCATGGACACGGGCAATGTAAGTTTCCCCATGCACTCTGTTCCTCTCCCCAACCAACACAATATATTTCAATCCTGACCTGCAGGGCCAAGGCACTTTGGTTCTCATGCCTATTCAGTACTGGGCTATTTTGTTGAGTCTGTTAGAAAGGGTTCTAGATTGTGTAGAGGTGTTAACATGGATACCTCTCTAAAAGGAACTGGACTGAAGCCACCAAGTCTCTGCATCACATGGGCCACCAAACAAAGATCAAATGATAACTGTTAGTCCTGGAAGACCCAGGCCTGGATTTTCACCAGTGACCTAGAAGTGAAAAATTCTGTTATCCCCTTACTTGTCCCTAATCATTCTGCCTCTCTCAGCACATGCACAGGTTTAATGCTTTTAGGAAGCTTGTTTTGTCTGATACATCCTTGTGGGGAACCAGAGTAGTTCTTAAAAGGTGACCAATCGAGTATTTATTAAAAAATGGGATTGTGCTGGTATTTGCGTCTTTAGTATGTATATAAAAAGACGAAAAATTTGAGGGAGGCAATTGCTTGCGTTTTGACATAAGTATATCAGGAGTGACAAGTATGGTCCTCCCTTTTAGCTAGAGGAATTTGGGGATGTCTCAGGGAAGTCTACTGTGAGCTAAAGAATTAAGTCAAAATATCAAGTATTTTGCAAAGGATTATTTTATCCAAAATATTAGTTATTAAAGTTAACTGAGAATTAATAAAAAAGAGCTGTAAACAGTCCAATTAAAAATTCCTTTCCCTCTTAGATACTCAGCTTTCACTTTCTTAGCTCTTGTGATGTCATCTTTTCAGTAGTTCTTTAAGTATAATAAAGAAGAAGAAAAAAATGCAGAAGCCAAATTTTTTGAAAATTCTTTGCAGGTTATCTGATTGATCTTGAAACTTAGTTCATGGTTGTCAGTGTAGCTTAACAAATTTTGATTGATATCTATCTCCATTGATTATAGAAGTTACGAGTAAGTCATAAATCAACTGGTAAATTCTCTCTGATCTAATATGTGACTACTTGTCATTTCCACTAGGTGGACCTCCTGATATGAGTCAAAGATTTCTTACCAGCATCATTGAATTATTCAAGAATATGTGAAACTAATGAATATTTTCTTTGATGAATTTGCAAGGTTTTGAAGAATGTATAAAATACAAATGCTTTTTTTACTTTGCATCTGTATGTTGTAAAAAATAATACAAATGTAGGTGCATTTTTTTAAAAAAGCTGCTCTTACTAATGTATCGTTAATATTCCTTTGAGCTTATAATATTATATTTTTCAGAACCATTTTCTTATCAAAGTAGTATTTATTAATGAGGGCTTAGTTGGAAGGTAAATCACTGCTAAACTAAAATGTTTTGCTCAACTCCAAACTGATACCTAGATTGCAAGCACTTTGAGGCAAAGATTGTCTTTTTGCTCTGTTTGTACAGCACCTAGCACGATGAAGTCATGGTCCCTGACTAGGGCTCTGAGGCATGATGATAATACAAATAATAATAATAATAAAAGTGTACAACCCATGATGCTTGTTTATACTGCAAGGCTCATCTATGTTCCCTGTCAAATTAGAAAAAGTATTTCTTACTGAGAGGTGTTTGTTTTCACTCTTTCCCTGTATCACTCCTGAATTTTCATTCATTATATTATGACCGTCAAATATCAGAACTTGTGTTTGGATTATTCTAATAAAAATGTTAAAATACCAGTTAGTATGATGATATAGATTTCCATGATGAAGCTACCAAGTTCTAAAATCAGGTAATTAAAGAGACAAATCATTGGATTAAATCATGATGGTTACTCAGGCACTTAGACTTAGATCTGTGTGACCAATATTTATAAGGTTATACAAAATTAAATCTAGCTAGACATTAAGCTGAACTGTTCAGCACGTGCTTAGTCATGCCTTGGACACATGCCCTGCAAAGATCCACAAATGGCTTCTAGCAATGGCTGCAACTAAATATATTTTCAGTATGTTTTGTACATTCATAACTCCTATTATTGTGGAGGGAGTACAATATATCATTCTATTTAAATGAGACATTTCACTCCAGTGCTGATAACCGGAGAACCAACAGCTATTAGTACATCCATTAAATGCATTAATTCTGCACACCATCCTGCAGTCATTTATCAGGAGTCTATATCCATAATTCCCTTTACCTTTTATCTGTTTGCTTTTTTGTTTTCATGTCTTCGTTAGGGTTGTTTCTGCTGGCTTGGGGTTGACATGTCCTACCCTAAATTTTTTACTCTTTTAAAACTTTTACAAAGGGTAGAACTTGAAACATCTATGGACAAAATTTTGCCTTGTATGCATATGCACCACTTCTGTTACAGTCACTGAAGAAACAGAAAAACAAACACAGCTACCTCTCTGATATAAAGAAACAGAATATCTTATGCAACTATCACTCATGTTTTCATCAATATTACCTACTGTTAACATTATCGCTTACATATTTATGATTTTTAGCCAAATCCTGCATTTCTTACTTAGGCAAATCTTCTCATTGTTTCTGGATTTTGTTAAACATTGTGGCCTATCTTGCTTATAGTTTTTCATAATCATTTCTGTTAGGTTTGTTTTTAGTAATTATTTATTAGTAGAAGTATCTTTTTTCCTCATCAGGAAGTTATCAAATCTCACGTACATTTTACTAGAAAAAGAATACAACTATAATAGTTTGATAGTCAATAAAGGGTATTTAACAGTTTACCTATGTCATGTTTAAATTTGCCAAACCTTAGTAGTTTTTTACTGTAGTGACAGACTACATTTCTTACAAAGGACCAGATCCTCAGCTGTTGTAGAATTACTCCAGTTGTAAGGATCTGGTCCAATATCTTTCCTCCACAAGGTGGGAAGCCCATTATCTAAATTCCACTGTTCATGGTCTCCCAGACCGTGTGCTGACTTTTGTGGTGCAGGAAATCTGCCCATAATAATTACAAATCTCCTCCCCTTCAACCTCACCTGGAAAAAAGCAATTTAAAAGAAGTGCGCTCATTTCCTGCAATAAGTAGTCATTTAATTAAAGAACAAAATTAACAGGAATCAAAAATGTTGCAGCTGTGTTTTCGTTAGACATTATATAAAAAAGAAAGAAATTATAATACATTAAATCATTTTGTATAACATGAACGTAAGTGTTTTACAAACTAATTGTGATTAGTTCAAAATGTCTTGTCAACATAATACTGAATGACAGTGCGTCATGTCCATTATGTCAGAGGCCCTGGAATGGTAAAGCCTGTACATGCACAACATCTCCTTTTCCAAGATATGCTGCAAAACAGTTTAAAACAAGTGTTAAAGGAGAGCAGTAAGTTCCTTCCAGTAGCTTTACTTCATTCGTTTTCAACTGATCCTCCCACCCGACAGGCCATCACTCTTCTGGCATCAAAGAGTGAAGTACGTCCTCTGGTAGCTCCTGTGTGTACGTGCTGCAGAGATTTCACCTGCACAGTCCTCCTCTCACACAAACGTCAGGGTATTGTGAACTGAACTTCAGGGAAAGACCTTTATACATTCCCTGATGTGTGTTCAGCAGCAGTATCAAAAGTAAAGACAAATTCTTCTCAGAAGAAAATCTCTATGGCCTGTGAAATCTAGAAGGTTATAAAAAAAGAGACACTTTAAAAATCACTTTATAACAGCATTTTTAAAAATTAAATATATTATTGCAATAAGAAATAATACTATTTAAAATTGTGTCCATTCTGTTTAATACCATTGAATCACATTTCTAGAGCATCTTTTTCATGAAAGATCCCCAACATGTTCTACATATAAGGCCAATATGACTAAAAATATGCCAAGGTTCATAGCATTTTATCCCTTTGGTTTTGGTCCTGTGCCACTGAGTGCCTCTGGCAAAAGTTCTCTCTGCATACGGGCTTCCTCAACTACAAATTCTCCCTTCCTTGAGTTCTATTATGTTCTTTTCATTCCTCATTGACTCCCACTTCCAAATCTCCCCATCACCTATTTGCAATAAGGAGGATGGAAGTGAGGCTGGGAATTGGTGTGGGGGAAAAACTAGGGGGCTGAGCTGTGAAGAAAGGGATTCTTCAGTGGTTTAACTTTGAAAAGAAAACTCATAGGATGTGCCTATCATCACCCTGACCACTTTGCTTGTATGTTAATTGCTTCTCTTTACTTCATTCTTTCTCTGTCTGCCTTTTTTAGAATGTACCCTCTGAAACAATGACTGTGGTGCATATCTTCAAAGATATTTAGGCATCTAACTGATTGACTTAAATACGAGTTAGCTAAATACCTCTGAGGCTGTGAGCCAGTCTTCCAGTGGCTTTGCAAAGTGCCTGCCACAGTTTGGCTGCTACCATTATTTAAATAGTAATAATAGATAGGCAGAATGTAATTTTCACATGACAATAGTAGCAAAACACCTGACTCATTCCAGCATGTTTGTAGTACATTATTGTGGTTGTAGAACTGAAGTGACATCTTTAAAAGGGTTTTAATGAGGGTAACAAGCAGTTTACAGTATCAGACTTGATGTTTTCAGCATGATTATGAGTTAATTAGAATATCATTTTGGGCCTACCCATTACATATGAAAATTATGCTAGTAGAGACACAATCTTCCAGGTTTAACTGTTCAAATCATAATTGGTAAATGCCATATGCCTGAATATACATAGCAAGGGGATGTGATAGCGACAGTAATCCACAGCAAGCAATACTTGTTAAAATGCATAGAATTATTTTAAAATCTATCATGAGGAGGTTATTCAAAACCTTTTTATTAATGCCTTTTTAGGAGGTGTGGTAGTGAAATTATATATCTTCATATGTTCTGATCCCCTTTGACTTGTGTACCTCAAAAGTACCTAACGGATGTTATACGTGATTGTTTTACCACACCTGTTTGCTATTTTAACTCCTACAATAATGGCATATGCTTCCTCAAAATGTGAACAAGCTAGAATAGTGGTCAGGCTGATCCCTCTGTTGATAGCCTACAGAAAAGTGTGTGTGTTTTTGAAAATATGTGCACATTGTGTGTGCATCTGCCATGGTTGCATGGCCAGACACAGTAACTGCATGCAAAAGTCATCAATTAGCTATCTGAAAAATCATTTGCGTGTATAATTATTTGAGCATGCAAACACAATTGTGCATGAATTTTTTTAAAGATATGGGCCATAATTTTGTTTGTTGCTAATAATATACCATGATATACTGTGATCCTGTCAGCTTTCACAAAATAAGCAACATTGAGTTGGTACTTTGATGGGCACCTTTAAAAAAAAAAAAAAAAAAAAACCCCAAACAATCAGGTACTGCCAGTAGAGGTATTGTTGATATAGTAGGTGGCACTCTTTTTCTTTTGAATCTGTACAGAAGAAATACCCTGAGGCATTGGACAGTTCTTCTCTTGGATGAGATGTAAAAATAAAGTCCTAAACACTAGTGGCATGATGGCATTAGCTGAAAGTAGTTTGGAGTATTTAACCCTGGTGTCCTGGCCACATTTCAAAATGTTTCATTTTAATCTGCCTAATTAAACTCACCAAGTAGCTTCAATTAAATAAAATATCCTTTGCTGCCAGACCTAAGCTACAGCCTTCCCATTATTGTAGATATTATTTTGCCAGAAGCCAGTGACATAAACCACATGGCTAAAGCTCAGGTTCTGTAATGTCACAAAAACTGTGACAAATTCCCAGCTCTGTACATGCAGTCTGGAATTATCTAACGTTAATATAAAACTGGATCAGTTTCATCCCTCAGATGTGTCCCATTTGAGAGCCAATGAGATGCTAATAGAAATCAAAGGGCAGAATTTGGGCATTACTGTTGCTATTCATTAAAGTGACTTTCCTCCAATATCGTCATTGCAGGTAACATTCTGCCTCTTCCTTCTCACCTACTGGACCACTACCTCTTGCCACTTTCCGTACCTGTAAATCCCGTTTTTAACCAGATGGTGAGGAGTAGATTTCAGTAGCACCTATCAGCAAGTGCCTTGTCTTTTAATTTTTACTTTCTAATTGATATAGAGCTGCACATGCATTTAAATTTCCATGTGAATATATTTCAGAGTAGCAACCATACTAGTCTGTATCCGCAAAAAGAAAAGGAGTACTTGTGGCACCTTAAAGACTTACACATTTATTTGAGCATAAGCTTTTGTGAGCTACAGTTCACTTCATCGGATGCATTCAGTGGAAAATACAGTGGGGAGATTTCTATACATAGAGAACATGAAACAATGGGTGTTACCATACACACTGTAACGAGAGTGATCACTTAAGGTGAGCTACTACCAGCAGGCGAGCGGGGTGGGGGGGGTGACCTTTTGCAGTGATAATCAAGGTGGGTCATTTCCAGCAGTTGACAAGAACGTCTGAGGAAAAGTGCAGGGGGGGGGAATCCAGTTTGCAAATTAATTCCAATTAAGCAGTCTCTCGTTGGAGTCTGTTTTTGAAGTTTTTTTGTTGAAGAATTGCCACTTTTAGGTCTGTAGTCGAGTGACCAAAGAGATTGAAGTGTTCTCCGACTGGTTTTTGAATGTTATAATTCTTGACGTCTGATTTGTGTCCGTTTATTCTTTTACATAGAGACTGTCTAGTTTGACCAATGTACATGGCAGAGGGGCATTGCTGGCACATGATGGCATATATCACATTGGTAGATGTGCAGGTGAACGAGCCTCTGATAGTGTGTCTGATGTGATTAGGCCCCATGATGGTGTCCCCTGAATAGATATGTGGACACAGTTGGCAACGGGCTTTGTTGCAAGGATAGGTTCCTGGGTTAGTCGTTCTGTTGTGTGGTGTGTGGTTGCTGGTGAGTATTTGCTTCAGGTTGGGGGGCTGTCTGTAAGCAAGGACTGGCCTGTCTCCCAAGATCTGTGAGAGTGATGGGTTGTCCTTCAAGATAGGTTGTAGATCCTTGATGATGCGTTGGAGAGGTTTTAGTTGGGGGCTGAAGGTGATTGCTAGTGGCGTTCTGTTATTTTCTTTGTTGGGCCTGTCCTGTAGTAGGTAACTTCTGGGTACTCTTCTGGCTCTGTCAATCTGTTTCTTCACTTCAGCAGGTGGGTATTGTAGTTGTAAGAATGGAAAAGCAGCACCACTTGCCTCATAACCTCAGCCGTGCAGAACACAATGCCATCCACAGCCTCAGAAACAACTCTGACATCATAATCAAAAAGGCTGACAAGGGGTGCTGTCGTCATCATGAATAGGTCGGAATATGAACAGGAGGCTGCTAGGCAGCTCTCCAACACCACTTTCTACATTACCCTCTGATCCCACTGAGGTTTACCAAAAAGAAACTACTGCATTTGCTCAAGAAACTCCCTGAAAAAGCACAAGAACAAATCCGCACAGACACACCCCTGGAACTCCGACCAGGGGTATTCTATCTGCTACCCAAGATCCATAAACCTGGACGCCCCATCATCTCAGGCATTGGCACCCTGACAACAGGATTGTCTGGCTATGTAGACTCCTCATGCCCTACGCTACCAGCACTCCCAGGTATCTTTGAGACACCACTGACTTCCTGAGGAAAGTACAATCCATCGGTGATCTTCCTGAAAACACCATCCTAGCCACTATGGATGTAGAAGCCTTCTACATCAACATTCCACACAAAGATGGACAACAAGCCATCAGGAACAGTATCCCCCCTGCTCTCCTGATGGTAATAGCTCACCTTAAGTTATCACTCTCATTACAGTGTGTATGGTAATACCCATTGTTTCATGTTCTCTATGTATAGAAATCTCCCCACTGTATTTTCCGCTGAATGCATCCGATGAAGTGAGCTGTAGCTCACAAAAGCTTATGCTCAAATAAATTTGTTCGTCCCTAAGGTGCTACAAGTCCTCCTTTTCTTCATGTGAATATAGTAACTGTGAATGGTGCTAGATTAACAGTGCTGGCGAGTGAGGACTCTTCTGTGTCAGCAGAGTATATGTGCTTACAGGCATTGGCAGTGCAAACATCCTCACACTGCCTCACCATTCTGCTTCTATCCTCTCTCTCTCTAGGAGTGAAACAGTAATTTGGGGCCTATGCCCATATTATCTGATCCTTGGCTTCTCTGCTGAGTTGCCACAGAGTTACCAGTTCAGGATTATTGTGATGGTGTGTTTTATGATGCTGACTCCCTTCCACTAGTAACTGGACTGAGACCCACTAAATATTTTACACAAGTCACTGAAACTTCTACTTTCTATTGAAAAAGCTGGCAAGACCCTGAGTGCGTGAATAATACTGAAACCTTTTAAGCAGAGCTTTTTCTTTTAAAATCCAGCAGAGTGAATCCTTTGTGTGTTCTTTATTATGTTCTATAATACAAACACTTCGTCTTCTTATTGTTCAACATTGGTGTTACAGCTGAATGATGAGACTGCAAACTTAAATACTTTGCCTATTCATCTGCCTTATATCACAGGTCATGTTCTCCGTGCAATACATCCTGTGGTCCTTCAGGGATGGCCTTTTAAATCACAGGTACAAACAATGCATTTTGAGGTCTGGGGGTTTGGGGAGGGAGTTGCTGGTCAACAGATGGTAATCTCACAGCACATATACTCTGAGATGAAGCAGGAGAACTTTTATTCCCCCCCCTCCCCCCCAAGGTAAAGCTTTTCCTGCAGATTTCAGAGCCGGGCAGGAACAATATATTCTGCAGATTCAGAGCTCAAAAAAATGGATACTGCAGGTAAAGGAAAAATGAACAAGTATCTGGATGACTGACCTTGTCAAATGCTTGCTTGATGCATGGACCTCCATTTCATTACTTTTGTATTCATTTAGCTCTTTACGAATTGCTGCCTAGGAATTGAAAATGGAAGCAAGGTTAAAAAAATCATTTTGAATTTGTAAACCTTTTTTTTTTTTAAATAAGCAAATAAGAGCCCTTAAAAATAATCAAAACAGCAAATTCCATGTAAAGAGTGTGGGAGGCTACAAACAAAGGACATGTGGCCAGCCAATATTGAGGAGAGCCAATATTTAGCTTCTCTCCATGTATACTGATCACTGTCTTTTAAAGATATTGACATAAACACTATCATTAGAAGCAGTCCTGAGAGGAACATAAAATCATAATGCTCACTCCCCAACACTTAATGACATTCTGGTTAAGTTAGTGAGCAGAAGCAGAGGTTCCTCCTCCAGCAACTGGACAGTTGAAATGTGGAGAATTTCAGTACTGGCCCATTTCAAAATAAAAATCAGACCGCATTGTCACAATATGCAAATAATGGACCAGATGTTAGTCATTTACGTGTGTGGCGTTGCACAATTATATGTGAGGGGAAAATTTTCCCTCTTGATACATTACACACCATAAAATCCAAAGCAGGTGTAAATTGATTTGTTTCCTTTCCCCAAATGACTACTGTTACTGGCCTGGATCAGACTGGAGTGCTTTTGCAAATTCGTACATACTACTACTATGTAATTTAGCTACCTAAACTTGTGAAGCTCTAATACACAGGCATGTGTCAAATCAGAGATGTGGTTTATTGGAAGAAATAAAAATGTGGGGGAAAGTAATATAATTTTTGCCCAGAAATAAATGGATTTTTTCAGCCCCTGAGATGTGAATGCAAGTTTGTCAAGTGAATGAGAGAGCTAAAAGTTTAATTGTATGCTTACTTTAAAATTAATAGCTCGCAGGCCAGGACAAAGGGTTGCTTGAAAGGGTCAGACAATGACTCTCATGTTTCACACCAGATTAAGAACTAGAGTGAGTGGGTGCAACATTGCTGATTTCTATGGAGATGCAGCATTTACACCATGATTCAGTTTGGCTTAATGATTGACACAAAATCCACTCTTGGATTCAGTGGGCTGCAGTATACATCTAAGGGTGAAATCCAGCTTAAATTCTTATTACTCTCAGCTCCAATTTCAGTTAGTACCTTGTAGAATAATTGTGTGTGCAGGGGATGTAACCCAATGAGCGGGAGTTCTGTTAGAAAGCAAATATGTCATATATATTTTGACAAGTGTCTTTAGCAAAAGCACAACAAAACACAATAGCCTTTTGGTCTGCTCCCACTTTAAAAATGCTACACACACACACACTGGTATGAGATCCCTTCAGCCTCAAATCTGTACGACTAGCAAACTCCTAGACCTGGATGTTGATTATCCCATACTACTAATAAAACTTCTGCTTTACAGCATTGATTACCACATAATACCTTGCAAAATAATACTCACTATAAGCACTTTTAAATGAATTCAGGAAGACAACTAAGACAAAGATGGCAAATAAAAATAAATCCTAAATTAGGTTAGAGTTCTCTTATACCATTTATTACACTATTCATATATTTTCTACCTTCTTGTTGGGAAACTCTTCAGCACATGTGAGAATGAGAAAGGCATGTCTGATTTCCATAGCCCAGCATCAAGCAGTGAGCAATCCAGTCCTATATTTGCCACTGTATCCAATAATTAGCCCAACGTCCCCAGTTGTTCTCCCAGCCTCCTGCAATCTTGAGCCAAAACTTTAAGGCCTGGTCTACGCTGGGGGGGGATCAATCTAAGTTACGCAACTTCAGCTACGTGAATAACGTAGCTGAAGTCGATGTACTTAGATCTACTCACCGCGGTGTCTTTGCTGCAGTAGGTAGATTGCTGATGCTCCCCTGTCAACTCTGCCTGCGCTTCTCGCTCTGGTGGAGTACCAGAGTCGACGGGAGAGCACTCGGCAGTCGATTTATCACGTTTTCACTAGATGCGATAAATTGACCCCTGCTGGATCGATCACTCTGGAGGTAAGTGTAGACATGCTCTAAAACCTTGTTCAACAAGCATTCTAGCCTGATTCATTGTAAGCCATTTCCTTCCTACCCAGCCACTTAAGTATAAAGTCTAGGATCATTTAATACTGTAAATCAAATATATGAGAGAAACAAGGTGGGTGAGGTAATATCTTTTATTGGCCCAACTTCTTTTGGTGGAAGGGACAAGCTTTTGAGCTTCACAGAGCTTGTCCTTTCCACCAACAGAAGTTGGGCCAATAAAAGATATTACCTTACCCACCTTTTCTCTCATATCCTGGGACCAACAGGGCCACAGCAACACAGCAAAAAAATCAAATATATGGTAATCATGTAATAAAGTGAAAATGTGTGTACTTTAGATTGGCCACTCTCAGGGCTAGCGAAAAAGTGCTTTCTTTGGGAGTTCATCAGTAGAGAATAAAGTAGTGATGTGTACGTATTTGTAACAAAGATTTTGTACTGAGTAACTTTTTGGTATAAAGTTTGGTTCTAGATTTCTCATACACTACAGAAATGGGTGGCAAAGATCTATGATAGATTGTGTAGTGTACTGCACGCCATACTTTTTCTATTAAGTTTGTTTGTTTGTTTATTTAAGAAGCCTTTTCACTATTTAAAGGTATGTTTTACATCCTGTGGTCGGTGTGGCTTCTGTTTGCTGAAAATGCAGGAATGTTTAAAGTACTTAAATCTGCATCAGCTATTAGTACTTCATTGTCAACTGTCTTTAGAGCCTATTCTGGTGCGTGTGTGTGTGTTTGTGTGACCTCAGAGTACAAAATTTGGCTCATGGGGAGTATTGAGTGTCACTTTCACCAAGAGCAGCCACTTACTCCAAGATGTATTTCCTTAGAATATCGAGACTTGTTTAGTAATACCACTGTTTACATGGCCTGATGTACTACTTACAAGCAAAGCAAACAAAAAAGTGAGCTGTAGCTCACGAAAGCTTATGCTCAAATAAATTGGTTAGTCTCTAAGGTGCCACAAGTCCTCCTTTTCTTTTTTTGAAAAAGACAGTAGTCATCTTAATTATATTTTTAAGTATGTCTGTACCTTATCGGCTGCTGATAGTCTTGTCCATGGTTTGTCTGCACGTCTGTCGTAGTCCTGTGCTTTTGCCACCTCTACATAATCGCTGAATCGAATTAAAATTTTTCTGTCTCTTAGTTCATCGACTGTAGGTCTCTGATTGAGCTGTATCAATAAGTTTTGTGAAGAAGTATATCAATATGAATAGGAAATAAAACTGAGACATACATTCAACGGAACAAAAATGGAATCACATGCATTTTTATTCCCCATCTTTATTTTGTATATTGTATATTTATGTATATAAAATATATATCTATTTAAACTGAAAAGATTTGAAATTGATTAATTCGTCTTAAATGCACAGAAACATTGAGATATACAGCCAGATTCTGATCTCATTTACATGGGCAATGCCATCATTCCAGATTCACAGTGTTATAACTGGATTCAGAATCTGTCCTACAGTCAGTGAGTGAAACTTATCTATCATTAGAAACATTAGGATAGTTTTTGTAAAGGAAAATAATTTTAATATTATGCTATCTTTAGTCTTTCTATAAAGGCATTTTTCTATTAACTAGAAGGCTTCTCTCTCCATGTGCCTTTATCTCAAGGAGCTACTGAAACACTTCTGAGTATTATTGTTATAACAGTAATAATCGGATAAACGGAGCAGAGGGCTAGTGTACAGTGGCTTTATAATGGAATATCTTGTCACACACAGCTTTATAAAGCTGAACTTGCAATATATTTCAAATAACCACAATGAATTACAATGTAAGGGCTCAATCTTGCAAAATGAGTAAGGGCTTCTGGATTGGGCCCAGTGTAAGAACTACAGACCCAAGGCTTAGCAAACTGTCATCACAATGAGCTTTTGAATATTGCACTGTGTTACCATTGACTCCCACAGGGACTTCTGCAAACAGAGCAATGACAGGATCAGGCCAAGAATCTGATAGACCTTAAAATGAAAAGGTCTGCAAAGAGATATTTCAGGCAGGAATGCACCTGGTGCTCAGCAAGGAGTCAGCTTACTCTGGGATTCTCATTGCTACGAACAGTGGAAAGGAACTGCTTTCCTCGCAATATAGTTGCAAAATATGCAGTATGAGGCAAATGATCTCAGATGAGCTGATTTTAGGTTCTTGTGCAAATTTTCCATTAGCCTCTCAAATACAGTGAGTGCCATTTAAAGAGCCAACATCTGTGGATAATTACCTGAGATATTGTAGTTATTTTCTGTTCTAGTTATTAAATACAACTGTCTCACATATCATTGTGTATACATGTTATTTTTTTAATGGTGACCACCATGGCCGTTTGTCTTTTATATGATTTAAAAAAATTAGATACTGTTTTTACTCTGGGCTCTTTGTTATTAGTTTGCATTAAGCTCTTTAAATGTCACTGAAAACATTTCAAGATTTTACCTTTCTCGTCAGCCTCTGCTTGATTTCCCTTCTTTCCTCCTGCTCTGTTTGATCATTTCTCTCTGCAGAAAATATAAAAAGAGAGATGACTTTCCTCATGTAGGAAGATCAGTTGTTTCCAGTACATCCAGGCAATAAAAGTTAAAATATGAAGAAGCGTGGTGCAGTTCCTTAGTCCTTCTGAATTGCTAGCTCAGTCCTTACTATGCCTGTTGGGGGCATTGCCAGAATACACAGCTACCTTTCAATGAGGACACAGAAGCACGTATGCCAATGTCAGTTTTTCCTGTGACATAACCTCCAGTTACAATAAGCTTTCATAAACTTAAAGCAGCCAGTCCAATTCTTCAGCTAGATAAACTTTTGGAGGGAAAAGCAATACCTTTAAAATTATGAATGATAGTTTGTTATGCCATGTCTTTGTTAGAGTCCTGTCATACTTGAATTAAGATGCTGAAACTTTTTCCTGTACGTACTTCAGGGAAACCATGTACCTCGTGAGCTTATGCTCTCAGGCTTCATATTTAGTTGGTCACATTGCTACAATATTCAGCCTTGACTTACCCGCTATCCTTTTCCCTCTACTATTCAAGATATGGCAGTTGTGTTAGAGCCTCTTTATACTCACAGGTTTTCTTATGTGATATTCTGTGCTAAGCCAGTTTGCTTTTGTGTATTCTATTAACATTCAAGCCGCAGTAACTCCTACACACTGGATCTAAAAATAGACTTGAGTCCTGTACTGTTGTGTGAAATATATCCTTTGCCTTAGGATACCACTTAATGGATTTTCTATTTCTAGTGCTATCTGTTACTAAATTTAGACTCAAGTCCATGACCTAAACAATGCTAGAGACCTAGGGGAAAGATGTTTAACCATTCAGTGAGCCTAGAGATCAGTGGTTTTCAACCTTTTTTCATTTGCTAAGAAAATTTGTATGGAGATGCAGACTCCTTTGGAAATCTTGCACATGGTCTGCAGACCCCCAGGGCTCCGTGGACCACAGGTTGAAAACCACGGCTGTAGATAGCAGTGTTCTCATTGTCTGTCAGTCAAGCAAAAGCTATTTTTGGAAATGAGCCTTTTTCTTGCCCCTCCCCTTTTTCTGTATTCTTTAGTTTACGTTGAAATACAGACACGTGGATCTATTTAAAGAAGCACTGTAGCAATATATGTGCAACTAGGTAAACAGAAAATGTAAATTAGAGAACCTAAAATCACCCAGTACGCTATAGTGGTGCTGCATATAACTTTAAAGTAGAATACATGAGACTGATGATATGGCCGTGTTTCAGAAGCGTCAGTGAGATGACCAAAGATTTAGGTGGCAATTGTCTGCAGTACCTGAGGAGGAAATATGAAAAAATTGGGAAAAATAGCTTTAAAAAAAATTGGACATGCTATGCAATGGCAAGATGCCCCCAGAAAGTAACTAATATGCCTCATTCACTATTTATTAACCACTTTTTGACTAGACCTTTGTGGTTGTATTTTCACTTTTTAAAAAAGGCTCTTCTACATCTATCTAAATGTCCATTGGGATATAGTCATGATGCATTCCACATGGGCACTGGGTGGTTTTCTAAGATGGAAACACGAATATGCCTATGCAGTCAGAAGATTGCTTTTTGTCGTTTTGAAATGCTAAGCACACATCATGGTCCGTATCGATAATGGCACATCTAGATTTAGGTAAAGTTAAACTTGTTTTGCTTAACAATTGTGGGAGTATGAAAAGTAATTCATCAGGAAGCAAATGCAAGATCTTGGTAAACTTTCCCTGTTTGGTGGAAGGAAATGTCAGCAGGGACATTACAGAATGCAAATATTACTACAGAGAAGAACTGGAGAGGTTTTCACAGCAACCTCACATTGCCTATATTTGGATCCATTCATTATTAAATGGCTGACTTTAACACTACACATCTCAGTGGAGTAATACTTCTGTTCCACTACTGCATGTGACACTGTATAACTCACACCCTTGCTCTGTGTGAGTTATGCAGGGAATTCTAAACTATGCATGACGCAGGAGCAATCACCCGTGTTAAGAATGAAGCAGGGATTGTACAATCCGTGTAAGAGGAGCTGCCTCTTGAATATGAATATCAATGGCTTGCTCTCAGAATATAATAGAAAACCCATCTGAACTCCTGGGACTGATTTTTTGGTTTGAACACACAGTTACTGTGGCAGTCATGCCCTGTACTGAACAAGCAGTGTTTTTCTATATTTAAAAATATAGGAATGAATAAAATCAATAAGATTATAAGTAAGTGTTGGGGTTTTTTTAAGTACCTCTCTTATCCCAGAGTCGCCTCCATGAGGGAGAGTAAAAAAAATTATTTCTCTTCATCTCATGAATACTTTAAAAAAATAACCTCATAATAGCACTTACAACTCATGAGGTCACATTGATTTCAATGGGGGTACTAACATAATCATGGTTTGGCAAGATCAGATCCAATCATGCTCTCGTTAAAGTCATTGGGAAAAGTGTCCATATCTCTGCCACTAACTTGAACACTGACTTTTTAGCAGCTGCTGTCAAATTATTTACCCTTCTTTTTCACACGTTCTAAGGTCCCTGCTGGCTCAGTGATGACCTGGGTTCTTTGCAATGTAGCTGACATTTATATGTAATCAAAAAGGTAATGTAAGTAGAATTGTGCAGCTTCTAATCCAAGATGAACCCTGTGCAAATCCAAAGTAACTGCACTGAAGCTGACAGAGTTATTCCAGATCTATGTGCAGTAAATCTAACGCAGTATGTTTAGCTGGCATGGAGGACATATCTTTAATTCTGCTTCATCTTCTGTTCTGCTTTAGCTCCCTCTGTAAGCTCATTATATGAATGTAACACAATGTTTTTTTAATATTAAAACTGGTCAATTTAATCTAGATTAAGGATGTAGCCAGTGTACCCCAGAAAGTAACAAACATGAAGGACCAGATTCTCAGAGGAGCTCATCTTGGATTTAGACCAGAGAATGAAGGGAGCTGGTTTTCAATGGCAGATGCAGAGTGTTCCACTCTTTTGCAAATCTGGTCCCATCTGATACAGAAATTTTAGCTCAATTGATTTTCCTTCTGATAGCTGAGGTTTGAGGTTAAACTGGGTTAATATGTATACAGGTCACAAGAATTTGTGTTATGTGTTGTTTGTAATTTGAATATGTGTAAATGAATCTGTGTATGCGTTGAATGGGTAATTAATTTACATGTCACAAGAACTATTTACAAAGTAAATGGTTTGATGTACTTGAATAGCTGAACCAACCAAAGATGACGAAGGAGTCCCCTTCAGTTCCCTCTGTCTCCAAATCCTATTGCCTTCAATGAGAGCAGCATCAGGCCCTCTTGTATCAACTGATAAGAAAGAAAAAGCAGCATGCAATCCAAACCCTCCCAAATTAAGGTGACACTGTGATCTGTGCGGCCATGCTGCTGGTTTCCTCTTTGTTAGTATAATTTTCCTAGACATTTCTAGTTTTCTCCTTCAGGAGAAAAATTGGGATGCACAATTTAACTTTGTAAAGAAGAAACTTCCTAAATCTAAACCATTCTGGAAAACTAATGTCCCCCACTCTCACGGGGACTTCTTTCTTCAGTTTAAGCAAGAAAATGAATCTGTCAAACACCTGAACAAATCATCAGATTAGAACATCAGGCTCAGCCTTGCGACATGAAATTGTGACTAAAGCAGGCAAATTATTTAGGCAATTTTCTGTACTAGTGAAATACAACCCTCTAAATGCTTAGATCTGATTTAAAAGCCAAAGACAGCATTGCTTTCATAGAATGCAAACATGTATTCCATTAAGTTGTTCAAGCTTGTTTGAAGAAGTAATCGGTTATTTTTCACATAATAATGTCTTTTACATTATTGGTGCTAAGATACACCATGAATGCAGCAGAGTGTATTATACTTTTCCTTAAAGCAATAGAACTCCACCTGTTCCATCCAGATTACCCATGTGACAACAGAAACAATTTTCAGGATTCCCCTGTTCTCCTCATTTTGGGGATTCCCCAGCCATCTAAAGGAAGTTCAGCAAATGTCTCCAGCAGCTCGGACAACAGTAAAAGGCAAGGATTTTGATACCCTTGCACTGTCTCAGCTTGCTGTCTTTAATTCATTTTCCTTTTAAATTAGAAAGGTCAGGAATGGATCTGATGCAACTTATTTGCTAGAAAAGTCACTGTTCTCCAAGGATGCCTGTGTGCTTCACTTTGGCATTGATGGATTTTAATTGACAGTGTGTCCTGAGTCTCTATGTAAAATGATAATCGAGGTGATTGCTAAACTGAGTCAAACCAAGACCATGCTTCCTTCCTCATGCAGCCATAACAGCAGGAATTATTTGAAAATCTAGATTTGTATTATTCCTTTTTTCTGCATTAAGTGGTATACCTTCCGACAAGTACACATATTAGACACCAGCACGCACCCCAGTGAAAACTCCACTGGTTAAAAATCCATTCCCAGAGGGTGGGCATGAACTTGTCTACAGCGGAGAAATGGCTCTCAGAAATGTATTCAGTAGTTTCAAAACACACATACAATATGCTATAATTTTTTTAAGTACTCACGTTTAAGTATATTCCTTCTTTCGAGCTCCTCGACAGCAGGTCTTTGGCTCAGGCGCCTGCGGAAAAACACCAAAATCATATTTTGTACCATGTCTGTTCTTGCAAAAGTCTGTACTGGGCTGAGTGCAGGTTTGGGGTTTTCCTCAGAAAACCATCTCCGGTCAGTGAAGGAAGGATATTTAGTCCTTTTATTCTTCCCCGATGCCAGCAGTGCAGGTGGAAGTTTTCCTCTAGTTTGCTCTGCGATCAGTGTAATCCTTCCCTGACATATACATTCTTTTCATCCTATATCCCAAACCAAGTCAGCTGAAAATAGTGCCCCACTACAGTTAAATTCATTCTCAAGGAGGCATGTATCCTGAGAATCAAATGAGGTTCTTAGAAATCTTCTGCAGCAATTACTGTCTCCACTCATGTAGCAATGGATGCCCTTTTTCTAACATCAACAATGATACATCCTGAAAAAACATAGCCTTGCTAGAAATAAAGCCTCTCTATGCAGGGTGGTTTCCTGGTTACGGATACGACAGAGCAGTCCACTAGCTTTACTAGTCCCCGGTGAATAAAATTCATGTCCTGCTCACAGCTTCCTGCTGTCTGAACCAAGCAAGTGTCTTATGCAGCTTCACCTCCCCTTTCAGTAGTGCTGCCTCAGGCTTGAGTCTTCAAATCATATGATCAGTGCCAGAGCGATTTTATCTTGCATACCCAATGAGACTTCCCCAAGAGATGCTGCTAATATCTGCAGAGAATCTCAGGTAATTGAACACCCACACACAAGCATTTATAGTTCCTGCAGTTGCTAGCTTTCAAACAATAATCCAGCCAGCAGAGATATAAAAGGGTTTCTACTGATTCCTGGCAATATTAAGGATCCTCGCTTCCTGCCTGAAATAGATGTTACACAGGAGGAGTCTGGAGGTTCCAAAGACAATGTGATTGACAGCAACGGGCTAACCCGGAGACTCACAGGTACCATGAGAGTGATCCTAGTATCACTGTAAATAAAGAGCAGAATTCTAAAATGATCTTATAACATTGCACTGTGTCAAATACAAAAGAGAACAGATGCTAAAATGATGAATTAACATCTCTGATGCTAGGTTTCCCTCCAGCATTTGTCACCTGATCAAATTCACTACAGAAATCAGTTTCTTGGATTTGCCTGGCAGCATCAGGATTCAAGCACAAAATGAACCCTGGCCACCTTCATGAATGCACCTCCTTTCCTTTTTGTTTATTAATCCCCCTAAAACCAATGACAGGGCCAAATCTACTCTCAGTATCACTGGTATAAATGTGGAGCAACTCCACTGAGCTTGGTATAGCTACTCCTGATTTACACCAATGTAAATGGTAGCAAGATATGGCCCCCTGAGCTTTAGTACAACCCCTGTACCCAGCTCCAGCCATTCTTCCTTCTACCACCTGCCTGTCTCCCCCAAGGATTTTTTGTGGGTGTCTGGATTTCTCCTTAGACTTAGTGGAGCATGTTCTATACCTCAGCCTAATTCTACTGAAGTGAATGGAGCTATGCAGAAATGCACCACTTGTGAATGTGGCCACATGTTTTTAATTCATATTGTCCCTCCTCGCCTCCCTCCCCCGCATCCCATCACAGTATATCTCAGCACTGATACAATTCCCTGAGGATGTTTTGTTTCAAAGCGATTAATATGCTCTTCACAATCCAGATCAGGGAAGAGTGACTTACTCTGTGAGTTTATCCGTAAATCAAAGGGCCACCAGACCTGCTGTTCAAATACCTCTCTATCAAACCATTTTTAATTACACCACGTCCATGTGATGTTTATAGATTCTCCTAGGAACTGTACATTAGATTCTGAAGGACCTTTAAACTAGAGGATTAAAAAAATCTAACCAAGAATATCAAAGCAATTAAAGCAGTGTTCTGAGTGCTTATGAATATTGATGCTTTGTATATTTGTGTGTTATGGTAATCCCTGATGTTTTAAAATCCACCCTCCATTTTTCTGCACCCACAAATAAAACCTGTAACTCTCTCACTGAAAAAAAATTTGTTGGTGAAAGAGTCAAGTCTCCATTGACAATCAGACAATTGAAACCAGTTTTCTTCAAAACACAAGTGCCTAAAGTCACTAGCACATGATGCAGGACCAGATTTTCACAGCTGTGTGCACACATACCATAGCGGCATATGTAATTACAGAAACTGCACATGGTAAATATACATGGACATAACCAGAGAGGCAGCTAACAAGCCCTTTATACAGTATTGACAACCTCAAATATTCAGTCAGGCCCTCTCCCCCCACACACACACAAAAAATCATGAAATTGGCTTAAAAATGTGTCTTTTAAAAATATTTGTATTTGCCTTCTTGATTTTGAGCCCTTAGGATGCACTTGGACCAAATTCGCAAGCTTTTCTCCACAGCCATGAGTGCTACAAACTCACTTGTTCTTAAAACAAAAGGTGAAAGTCTCACAAAATGACATGATTCCAGAAGCTGGGGCCTTAAGAAAAAAACCATATATCCAGACCCTTATAATAACATTGTGAGAGATGTTAACATTATTGATGTATGAGTACCCTGGTGTAATTCCATGCAACAGTTATATGTACTGCTCAGGTGGGTTATGTATCTTTATTTGTCCTCCATCACTGTGGTATGTGAGCACTTTCATGGTTTCTGACCATACAGTGGAATGTAAAGGCCTCTTTCACTACAGCTGCACTCACACACATATGGGAGAAGCACAATCAGCCAGCAAAGGTTAACGGGTCCAGCTGCTTCCCTCCCTTCCCTCTGATTGGAAAGAAGAGAAGGCAGCTGCGGGTAGCCCAGTCAGGGAGAACAGGGCATCTTTGTATCTCCAAATATAGAAGCCCTCTTCAGAAAGGTGGAGTGATTGGAGAGAGAAAGAAAGAAAGAAAGAAAGGCTTTCCTAGCTGAGAGGTTTTCAAAGGGCTGAACTGCTTCCTGGTGCGTGTTGTAGGCTGCTCTGGAGAAAGTCTGTATCTGTGAGTACTAGGACTTGGTCCCTTTTCTCTTTACTGAAATGTTTCACTAGGTCTTCTGCAGGAGGGGACTTTTCTGCTTTGAAACACAAAGTTGGGGGTGAGCAGACAACTTCCTTGCTCGGCATATGTCCTGGGCCTCCTGCACAGCACTTGGCCATTCCCAGTGCCAAGAAACTGCAGTAGCTTTCTCAGTAGTGAGGACTACATTCAGCTCAGCTGTGTAAGTACAGCCTGCCCTGTCCCAGGGGGACCCCCAGAAGTTTCCCCTAGGTACTCTGTAGGCCCCTACCAAATCAGCTAATCTTTCAGCCATGCTGGCCATGCCCCTAACCCAGCCAGCAGCACCCTATTTCCCCAAAGGAGGGGTTGCAGCTATCTTTCACCACTGCGGCCTCCCCTTGGCAAGACTGCCCCTGCCTGAGGCCTTCTGCCTTGTTTCACCTCAGTGGGACTAAGAGTAAACAAGGCACAACTGTGGCTCTGAACTCCAGGCACCTCCACTGTCAGTGACTTGGCGTGGTGTGCAGAGAGCTGAGGATGCGCCTTGGTCAGAGCAGTGTGTCTCTATTTTAATGGTGTATTTTAGCTGTCTGTAGGGTTGCCAACCATCCAGGATTGTCCTGGAGTCACTAGGAATTAAAGATTAATCTTGAATTAAAGATTGTCATGTGATGAAATCTCCAGGAATTTGTCCAACCAAAGTTGGCAATCCTAGATCTGTGTTTTGAACCTGTTAACATCTCTGCTGGGGAGAATTCCACTTCAGCCTCTGTAAGCAAGGAGCTATCCCTTCCCTACTTGGTAGTCCATGCTGAGAACTCAATGGCACTCTCTGGATTTTCCCCTCAGCCTTTTAAAAAACAAACAAACAAAAAAAAAAAACCTGCCCATTTTCCCTGAGCTCTGTGAACCTCCCTGAAAAGAGATCAGCTCAAGCCTCAGGATGGCACCATTACTGCCTTAGACTCTCCTCTCTGTGCAAGGTAATCAAGTGTAACTTGGCAAGAGAAATGACTTCTCTTGGGGATTTGGGGGTTTTTTTTTCACCCACTCTTAGAGGGAGCAGATCGTGGAGCAGGTGCTGTCAAAGATGAGGATTTGTTGCAGGAAACAGTAAAATCCTCTGTGTGCTTTAACATCTCCAGCAGTTTAAAGGCTAAAAGCAGATTTCAGGCCACAGCTGGGGAGCCCTTGCTTTGTAATTTTGGAGGACAAGATGGATGGCAACTAAGTCGAAGCCTACAAAGAGGGCTGAAACTGAGCAGCTAGTGGACTCAGCCAGACTAACTGTACTGTCTCTGCAAGCTCTCCCTGAAAGGGTAAAAAGCCATATTTTAAGAGCTCAATTGATTTGTAAAGGATGGAAGAACTACTGTCCTTGTTGATACAATTTTTCACATTGATTAGTTAAGTTTAGACACCTACCTATTTCTGGCCACCAGAATGAGCATCCAATCTGGGCCCATCATATACTGTAAATGTACTGAAATCTTAGTGTCAGTATTTTGAATTATGCAGGGACTGACGCCTCTCTTTGCTCTAGGTACCGTACATAGCAAGCAATTTCTGATGTACAGTTAGCTTTCATGAAAGCTGTCATAAACTTGCAGGCAAGTAACCTCTATTGAGCTTCATCCTCAGCTGGTGTAAAGTGGTGTAGTCTCATTGAAGTGCTTATGGTGATTCACACCAGCTGAGGATCTAGCTCAGAGAGTCAAATTCTTTCCTGACATTCACCAATGAGCATCTCAAGGGCTGTCACCAGTGTGAGTGAGGCAGCATTCAGCCCATGTACTTTATTTTAGCAAAATGCAGCTAGCATATGAAACACTGAGCAGAATGTGCAAGGCTCTAGTGGTATTTCCTTGTAAATCACACGTGAACACCATAGCAAATCTGGCTGGGGATCTGTAGGTAATTAACTCCCATTTAATAAAGACCAAATAATCTGATCCAAAATGCAAGCACTTCATGTTATTCTTTCACCCCCCATTATGAGAAAACTATGATTTTTTCCAAAGCTCAGAATAGGTTATAAAACTCACTTTG